TGAAGAACTGCCAGAGGGTCAACCAGCCCCAAATCTGAGAAGCTCTCCTCCTCCCACAAGACCATATCCAAGGACCGACACTGATCCTCCCAGTTCCCATCAACCTCCCCTTTCTCGCCCTCCTCAATCACATCCACACAAGTCTCCCATTTAGCACCATTATCCACCCCACTATCATGAATCTCAGAAAAGGATGCTGAATCACATGAAGGCACATCAGTCAGGCGCCTATGTTTTTGTAGTTCCTTCACCAACAGAGAGGCTGATTCCTCATTAAGAATGATGCGGATATTCTTTCCCACGCAAACAGTCATCAAGTTTGGCTCACAAGCTGACTGAGATGGCACCAATTCATCCCCCTTAGGAAGACACATGTCTAGCTGAGGCTTGACCATCCCCCCATGTCAAACCCAGATATAACCATCTGATGAGAAGAAGAGGAAAATTCCTAACAAGAATCCTTCGGCCCTTCGCTGGCACGATCCGAAACCCCCATCCACAAACAAACCGACCATCCCATCCCTTTCTAACGGTCCAACAAACCCACACCCTAAATCAGCCTTATCCACAGTCTCATTTCCCACCTCAACCACTGGTGAGAGCCTCCGTGACAAACCAATAAAACCATTCCCCACCTCCTTCCTCCTCAACCCATAAGAAGGAGAAGAGAGAGAAGAATGAGAAAAGGAAGAGTTACGAGAACAAGAAGGGGGGGACTTACCCGGTTCAGGAGTGTTGCGGGCGACCCATTTTTGCTTGTCCTTTCTGGTCCATCTTCTCTCAGACTTATTAGACCAACTCGACACATCCTCCTTGAGGGAGTCACAGCTGCGAGTCTCATCCTCACAAGGGGAGCATGACTGGAGCAACCCAAAACTGTTACCAGATAGCAAATTCTGACAACACGCACCATGCCTGAACATCTTCAATCTCGGACCAGGTCCCTTTATCATATTCGAACTCACAGAGACCCAATTCTCCATTTCCACCTGAGTCCAGTGTCTCGCATCATTCTTCGGTTGATTCGGAGCAACTGATTTGTGAGAATCGCTTCTAGAAGCCATTTCAGAAGATGGCTTGGGCTGCAGCCCATTAATGGAAATTGAGAGACTTCTATTTGGCCCCAGGCAACTTCTCTAGAGCTAGAATAATTGGGCTTGGCAAGAGAAGACCGAGAAGAAGAGAGAGGCTTAAGAATGGCCTGACCTGTCCAGCCCTGTTCATGGTCTGCGAACCTTCAAGCCCAGATCCAAAAGAAAATGAATACCCAACCGAATTGGGCCTAAAATGCCCAGCCCTGCCATCAACCTTCAAAGCACCCTTCACAGGCCCACGTTGGTTAGGCCCTTTCCAAGTAGATCCGTTAGAAGAGGAATTCAAATTCCCGACTGCCTGACGTGCCAAGGCATGTGTACCCTTAGCTGGATTCCACTCACAACCCGGGGGCGGGGGGAACCGTCCTCCAACCACGTGTCCCACTAACCAGGCGTTCCTTCCCACTCGTCTCCGACGCGTGGGAATGCACTCGTCTCTATCCTTGCTTCCGGCGACTTTGTAGAGTCTTTCTATGAATCACCGGTTCATGCCCACCACCGAAAACTGATCTGTGAGATGAAAGAGCCCCCCTATCCGTCACCTCCAAAGGATTGGAAAAATTAGATCTATCACAAAACTTGGAGATTGGCTCAATAGAAGGGGCGATTTCCTCGGTGAGAGAGATGCGAAAGGCTCGCTGACTGTCCTCCACGATAATAGACTCCGGGATCACACCACCTTTATCCACAGTGATGACGATCCTATCCGTTTCGCTCATCTCGAATGCCTCGCCGTCTCGGAATCTGCTACACAGGTCCCCCACAGCAACGAAGAGTTTCTGACACCAAAGGTGGAGAGGAAGACCAAACACAATGATTCTCCGGCATTTAAACTTCTTTCTCAACCCAGAACACCCAACCTTGTAGTACCAGTAGTCAATGAACAACTAAGCGTCACCCCATGTCTTCTTTCCATAATCAAGAACCTTCACAGCCTCCATGACCGACGGGAAGCGAAACAGCAAAAGTCCATCAGGCAAAGTAGAAACCCTAACACCAGTCGAGATTGACCAAACCCTCGTAGCCCAATCTTCAATGTTCTCGAGAGACCCCACCTCCAGACATGCCCTAAGCGTACGCTTGCGAGAAGACGTGCTGCGATTATCCACTAAAAAAACGAAATCACCGGAGGAAGAGAAGCACTCCACTTCGCCCTTCAAATCCAGACGAGGAAGACTAGCAACCTCCAGAAAAGATGGCCTCTGACCGTTGAGAGTTCTCATGAAATCAACAAAAAACCACCCTGAATCACCGCAAACACCAACACCAACAGAAAGAGAGAAGAGCGAAGGAAAATAACAGAGGATTTCACCGGAGTTTATGACTACGGTGACTAGTTGGAGTAGTGGACTCCAGCTGCATCTCTGCTACGAGGAAGCTTTCTCCGTTGGTCCGTAAAGTTTTCTTAAGGCAAGGATACGGTCCATTGTATAAAGTTCATTGGTCACATGTTTGCTCCATCAACATATTATTAAGGTGTATAAACTAATGTATAGATAAATTATGTGATCAATTGACTGTTTTCTTTATTACCTTAACTAGAAAATTAGAATTTTAGTGGTTTGTCTGACGTATACGAGGAAAGAAAGTTTACTGAGGCTCATCTTATAGTACTCAATTCCAAGTCTTATTCTCTAAATGTATAGGCATCCATGCACTGTTTTAAAACATATTGAATGTGGGAATATTTCACAAGCATCAAAGAACTATAGAAGAATATAAGAAGAGCCCAAATGATTAAATCCAATGAATTAGAAGCAACAAAATTTTTGAGCTTCTTGAATCAGGAACTTCCTTCGAAACAAACAAACTCACAATTTGTGATATGACGATAGTGTGGTATTATCCCCCTAAATTCCTCTATGTTACATAGAGGGTGTAAACAAAGATAAATGTTGAAGTATTCATTTAGGTAATTTTAATTGGTTGAAAGAGAAATTTTGAGTTGTTACCAATTGACTATAGTCTTCCCTTGATTTGTCATAAAAATGTGCTACCTGATTCTTTCAGTTCTCATAAGAACACTAAAATAATGAAAAACTCACCTTCGATAAGACTTCATGGAAAGGAATGAAGATTTTCAAATGAGGTAGAAAAAGCATCATGCTCGTAATCTTGAGGCATTGAAATGAGTTTAATTATAACATGTTTCTTTTCATTTTATCAGATTCTTAATAAACCCCATATATAATCAATTTAGTAGATGCAATCTCCATTGTCATTTTTTTTTTTTGTTTTTTAAATGTTCACACATTATATGTGGAATGAGTTTTCATTTTTTTTTATAATTTAGTTTATTTTTGTTTATTAATTTCGTAAAAAGTATAATTAGTAAAACTTTTTAATAATGATATTGACTTATAATTCATGAATAGCTTATTGCTTGTGTTAAATGATCTTCAAAAATTCAATAAAAATCACTAAAATCACTAAAAAATCATCTTTGTTGAATTATGTTGTAAAAAGTTGCGTATCGATGTGTTTTTGGCCCTATGTGCGAGGTCAAAAATAATTCATGACTGTGATAACCAATTCAGTTACGCCACACCGATATGGCCCAATTCCGGTACACCGCTACCGTGAAACTTGATGATACATATGTGTATGCACACACACACACACACACACATATATATATAATGGGGGGGTGGTTCAGATTTGTGTACCCAGAAACATGTATTAGAAATATTTAAGCGTGTGGAAGATTGAATATTCCAGGTAGAAGGAAGTTTTTTCAGGCACGACTATCTTTTATACCTCATTGTTTTTGCCCTTTATTATTCCATGTTGTAGATACTGTTGCTATACAGCTAGGGAAGACGATTAGTCTTTCTTTTAGGTGATAATACACGTATTACTTGGTGAAGTCAACTTGACATTACTACATCCTGATCTAGAGGGTGGTGATTTGGGTCTAGGGTGAGTTTAGTAAGATCCTTTTGTGGAAATGGCTGCTGAGGGATTCAGGGTGTGTTTGGTTTTTTTTTTAGAGAGGTTTTTAATAGATGTCAAAGATGATAAACAGCTAAATCATTGTAAATGCTAGACAACCAAGGTTAGAAATGAAGAATTCTTTTTTTTCGTAGTTGATACTCACAACCACCCCCCACAAAAGGAATTGTTTGCACCCAAGAGGTGTCGAACATTAGACCTGATGCTTCACGAGGCACTAGGGCCAAGTTAATTACCCACTTTTTTTCCTAGTTGATACTCACAACAACCCCCCACAAAAGGAATTGTTTGCACCCAAGAGGTGTCGAACATTAGACCTGATGCTTCACAAGGCACCAGGGCCAAGTTACTTACCCACTTGAGCCAATCCCTTTGGGTTCATTATGGCATTCTGTGTGAGAATGACAAGAAGGCTAAACATCGTATTCTATCAATGATTGCATTTTCTGTGGCACGCAGGTGAGCGATAGATGAGTTCCTTGGTCTTTTATCTAGAATAATGAGAAGAGATGCTTTGGTGTTTAAGTTATTAACCTGTGATTCACAAGGTGAAAAAGCATTCCAAATGGATGTAACATTTTATTTTCCGGCCTCTTTCTATTTGTTGCTTTTGTTTGAAATTTGACCATTATGCTGAAGCTGATAGGCTATTTGTTAAAGAATGGTAAAAAGAAAACCTTTAACCACTAATATGCTTTTTAACTTGGGGCAGTTTATGCACTTACAATTATATATTTTTTTAGGGCAGTTTATGAAGTAGTCATTTTGCAGAATTTTATAAAATCATAAGTTTTCGGGTTAGGGCATTTTAGGTTGGCTGAAGTAATTTATGTGGATTATTGAAAATTGGTGGGTGGTCTTGCCAATAGATCATCTAATTTGTTATTTATGAATTTTATATTATTTTGTCTCATGATCTTCCATAATTATTGTACTCATTCAACATGATTCTAGGATATGCTGTTGTTGAAGGGAGACCTGTAAGAGAGCCTCGCCTTCCTTGCTGTGGTATCGGAATTGGCTGGATTTTGTGAGTTCAAATTGATAATTCCTTCGTTTCAGCTTTTTCTTTTGTTTAACAAGGAAAATATTGGTTATGTGTATGCTTTAATGATAATTAATTTTCCGATATAGTGATATTTGTTGCATGAAAACTTTTAACGCATTTCATAATTTTTCTATTCTTTTTATTAGTCTTGTTTTTTCATGTATAATTTAACTGTCAGTTTGTTAGGTTAAAAGATTGTGATTGACTCTATTCATTTGGCTTTGTTTGCAAGGTTTTTAATTGGTTTCTTTCTTGGTGCCATTCCCTGGTATATTGGAGCTTTTATTCTACTGTGTGTCCGGGTAGATAACAGAGAAAAACCCGGACTTATTGCATGCACAATTGCTGTAAGTGTGTTCTTGTCTTGACCAATTCATTTTTCATTTGATTAAGGCTGTGCTTTAAAGATATTTTTGGTTCTACTTCAGTGATACTTTATTTTTCTTTAAACCCAGTTGTTCTATGTATATGAGGGGCAATTTAAACATTATATAGAATCCTCTCTATCTCTCTCATGTAACTTATTTATATTAGCTGACATTGTATTATGTCATCTAATTCATGATGCATTTGATGATTTATGTTTTAAAAAAAAAAAAGAAAAAGAAGAAGAAGAAGATGATTTATGTATGCAGTACATAGTGGTATTTGCTCTTTCTATGGGTTAAAAAGAATAATTATCGTTGCTTGTTAATTTTGTGTTGTTATAGGCAAGTCATAGGGGGTCATTGTTTGCTGTAATGGTAAAAGTTGGATCTTGTGAGCATGAGAATTCAAACATTGAGAGTAAGAGCATCGATTTGGTGCAAAATAACTCAACGGTTAGGTCTATGCTCAGTCTGTCAATAACTAAAGATCTGTTAAAAAAAAAAAAACAGAATTAATAAAATAGTCTTGATTATGTTCAAACATGTTTGGTAATTTTAGATACTAGCTACAACCTTAGCTAAGGTTGTGTTCCGTTGAATTTCCCAATCGATGATATTGGAAAACACACTTGATGAAATTGTTTCTCCATATTTTTTGGTCCTTTTAGACGTCCAGTATAACTTTTGCTGGTGATGCATCTTCTTATTCACAGACAAATTTCACAACCCGAAGGTGTTTTTTATTTGTTCGGCATCTTTGTTGATGGATTTTCTGCCTATGCAACGGTTATTTGTGTATATTTGTATACTTGTGTTCATTCATTTATTCATTAATTTGGTAATTTGGCTTTCGCAGTTTGGCATCCTAATTTTACTGCAAGTTCTTATGTACATTCACTTGATAAACAAGCTTATTGCTTTGTGTTGCTGAGAAGTGGAAGCCTAATATATTGCCAGTGCTCTTATTTTTATTATTTTTTGTTCGACTTCATGCAGGCTATACTGGTTGTGATCGCCGTTTCTCTTGGTGCGACGAAGGCAACTCATTCCTGATGATGCTCGTGCAGACTGCAAAAGTCCTTGTATATTCCTTGCAAAAGTCCCAGTAAAAAACAATTGTTGGTCGGGTCATAGTTGTGCTTGGAAGATGTAATTTTTAAAGCTGTAGAAAGGCATCATGAAGTTATTTGGTGTTTATATAAATTATTGTGTTCTTTTTGTGTTGATTGTGCATTTCTAGTGGAATACTGCAAATACGAGCACTGAGTTTATAAAAATATAGAAAACCCAGGAGTTCTAGTTGAAAGTTACTCAATTGATTTCTGCTGCAGGGGTGTGATTGCGACGATATCAGTATAGTGTGTGGTCAAAACAATATGATAAATTGAGAGTGATATAATTTGAAATATTTATATGTATATAGACTATACATGTACAAAGGAAGTTTTACACACTGTATTTTTACCCAACTTACACTCTCTTTATTTTCTTTCCTCGTGTTTATCCAAATCCGTTGTAAAATTTTGTTGAAAGATACCAAAATTAAAGAAAAGTTAGTTTGGAAAATATAAAACTTGTTCAGGGAGAAAAATGGAAAATCCAAGAAGATTAAAAAATTACACATTTCTCTTTGTTATTTTCTTTTATAGAGGTTTACTTCGCATATATTCAAACTATCTTTTTAACCAAAATTTTCTCATTTTAACTTTAATTGGTGCCGCTCCAACCTTCTCTTGATAATTTCTAATCTATTCTTACTAGTTTTACTGCACATCAATCTCAACTTATATTTATCATGCAATGTACTAGATACCCTCCTCCATTTAATCCAAATCTAAATAATGACAATGCTCACTTTTCTTTTCTTTTTTTTCAATCTCACTCCATCCTCATTTGTGTTTCTAGATTTAGGAAAGTTACAATCCACAATTTATTTTGAGTTATCTTGAACCCTTTCAGTTCTAAAGTTTATCTCCAAACCTCCAATTTGACATTGAAGACTCCTCTAATCTATTCAACTAAAACAATATTATCACCATAATACACCAGGGAATCTCATATTAGATGTGTTTTATCAGCTCGTCTATAACCAAGGCAAAAATGAATGGATCCTAATGCTGACCATTAAGCTTACTTTAGTTAGGAATTCGCTTATTTCTCTTAGTATCGTTCTAAATAGAATCACACAACCATCATAAATATCCTTTACTTTTTTTTATTATAAAATCCTCCATATAAGATCTATAGGTACCCCTTATTATCATAGGCTTTCTTCAAATCAATAAAGACCATATGGACATCTCTCACAATATAAACCCCCATTAAGAGTATGTTACTTGGGATTTTATGAAAGAACTTGTAAATTTAACTTTTGTGACGACCAAACAGGGGTAAGTTTGAGGATAGTTTAGCGTACAAGTTTTATGGATGGCAATTGAAATTCTCTAGGGGTCTAAAGTATAAAAAAAGAAGTTATGGGTAACACTCCAATTTGGACCTAAGTTAGCGGAGGAAAACGTAATTTAACAATTTTTTATTTGGACCTAGGGTTTCTCAGGTTTCAGCTACTATAAAAGCCGAACAAAACCCTAGACTTTCCCAACGCCACACTCACGAAGAGCAGCGAGAAGAGAGAGAGAAAGCTCTTCAGAAATGGTGACTTTCAGGGTGAGTTTAGCTTATTCCTTTGCCTCCTAGGGTTTTATCTTCTCTGTCGAATCAAATGCTCTACCAGATCTAAGATATTTTCAGTATATATATATGTGTGTGTGTGTTTGTGCTTATTTTCTCTGCTTGTGGCTTTGATTTGTGTAGTGTAACGCGTTTGATCTATTCAATTGTTTGTGTAGTTTCATCAATATCAAGTTGTGGGAAGAGCTCTCCCTACGGAGACTGATGAGCATCCCAAGATCTACCGCATGAAACTCTGGGCCACCAATGAGGTTCGGGCCAAGTCCAAGTTCTGGTACGTATTACACACTCGTGTGTGTATATATATGTTTGACGGTTCTAATTTATGTATATTTTGTTGTTGAATTTTTATTTTCTAGTTGAATTTAAGATCTTTGACGTTTAGCTTACGATTAGGTTTGGTTTGAATTTGATTAAGGTATTTTCTGAGGAAGCTTAAGAAGGTCAAGAAGAGCAATGGCCAAATGCTTGCAATCAATGAGGTATGTTTGTCTTTTACATCGATATTAATTTTACTATTTCGTAGGGTTTTGAGAATAGATCATGGCAACTGTTTTTGAGTTCTTTGTTTAGAAACATAATGTTGTAGAACTGATAGCAAATCGTTATATGCTCTGCAATTGAAGGGAATAATTCTATGATTTGTTAATTATGAATGATGATCTCTAGTTGATTTGTTTACTTGGCTTTTGAAACTAATTTGTTATGTGTAATATCTTCAAGGTCTTATTGCGACAATTTCTGATAAGATTTGTTGTAAGAAACTGTCTTTTTGTGCTTGCCCCTATCCACTACATTTGTGCCCCTCCTCATTGTAAATATACTTGATTGTAAAAGTTTCTAAGTTTTTGTCAATGCAAAGATTTTATTTCTCGATAAACCAATGGTATTTGATAAACCAAAAGAAGATAGTATCCTTTTTTTGAGTCTTGACTGAACATGATATGATAGTATTTAATGAAGCATAATGTTGTTTGCATTAGAACGTGGAAACTTTGATCTAGGTGTAGTTATGCTTATTTTATCCTACAGTAACCTATTAATTAGAACTTTCAACTCTGTAAGATGTAACTTTAGGTATGCTGATCATTATTATTATTATTGTTTTTTGACATGATGTGAAGTAAGACTAAAAAAGATACGTTCGGGAGATGGTTGGAGTAGACAAATTGGAGATAAAATGAGAGAACTTCGTTTTAAAAGGTTTGGACATGTGCAAATAATACCTTTAAGTGTGTCACTTAGGAAAAGTGATATAGTTCACATTGAGGGTAATACTAGGGGAAGAGGAAGAGGAAGAGGAAGACCAAAGTTTACCTTGGTAGAGCTAGTAAGGAAGAATATGATAGCATGTGAATTGACTGAAGCTATGGCCTTAATTAGAGAGGAATGGAAACATGGAATTCATGTAGCCATGGCCAGGGAGTTGAAAACAAGGCTTGTGGTTCTTGTTGATGGATCATTAGTTTTTTCTCTTTCCTTTTTTTAATTACTAAATGGACTTATGCTTCTGTTTGTTTTAGGATGATGTTGATAACTGTGCTGTTATGTACTAGAGGATGGTCTGGTTCAGATTTATTAATGTCTAAAATTCTTTGTGATAACTTGCTCCTTGTGTTCTGTCTATTTGTATGTTTTATACTAATATTAGTTGGTTTGACTGGAGGGATGGGAAAAGGGAAGTCACTTCTTTAGAGAAACAGATATCCGATTCAATTGCATTAAAACTCTCATTTTTTGTAAATTTGTAACCAAATCTATTATTTATACTTGATCTACAATTGCAGATTTTTGAGAAGTGTCCTACAAAGGTGAAGAATTATGGTATATGGTTGCGGTATCAGAGTCGAACTGGCTATCACAACATGTACAAGGAATACCGTGATACCACTTTGAATGGTGGTGTGGAACAGATGTACACTGAGATGGCTTCACGCCACAGGGTCCGTAGTCATTGCATCCAAATCATCAAGACAGCCACTATCCCAGCAAAGCTTTGCAAGAGGGAGAGCACCAAGCAATTCCACAACTCCAAAATCAAGTTCCCCTTGGTGTTCAGGAAGGTTAGACCACCAACTAGAAAGTTGAAGACCACCTACAAGGCTACTAGGCCCAACTTGTTTATGTAACTGTTTTATCATTTGTTGGCGAGGTTACATAAGACAGGGATTGAAGTTCTGAATTTTTGTTATTTTAGCAGAGAGATCATCAACCAGTGCCATTTGTTTTGGTTTTAAGAATTCTAGTATAATGAGATATTTGAAGGTCTCCTAAGTTTCTTTGTTCACTTTTTGAATGCCTAAGTACTCTCTATTGGATTTTCTATTTTGCTTTGCTGTTCTATTTATGGTGATTTGTGGTGCATAGATTAGAGAGGCTTGACTTTGATTTTATTGTGGTTGAGACTTTATTTTTCTGAAGGTCAGTGTGATCTGTCGAAGGACTATATTAGAATATAAACTGTCTGTGTTACCAAACTCATAAAAGGTTTTGATTCAATAATTAAAAAGGTTTAAATATCGGATGAATTAAGCATGATTTTTAGTAGATTTTTAGTAGAATCATAAGTTGCAATGTAATTTTATTGTAGAAGTTCGATGATTCAAGTAGTTAAACTAGTTGAAGTTTGATGATTCAAGTAGTTAAACTAGTTGCACTTCCATCATAGTTCAATCAAAGGTTAGATTTGTCCTTGAGTTACTTTTATCAATATTGCTTTTTCGTATATATATATATAATGAATATAATAATTATTATTTTTTTCCTTCGGAAGAAGAAGTATTAGATGTTATACTAATGATTGCAATTACTCGCGTCAAATGGTTAAATTATTAAATTTCATAAGATAATTACCGAAAAAAAAAAAAAATTACAGATCAAAACCAACGAAGAGAGAGAAGAATGCACTGTGGAGAATAGATGAACATAATGAGTCTGGCCCATTTGGAACCCTATCCCTTCCACTGAAGTTCCAATTCAGAAAACTCCAAAACATTGCACAAAACAATGCATTATGGATCTATGATTAGAAAGAAGAAAAAGAAAAAGAAAAAGAAAAAGAAAATTAAAAATCTATCTTAAAGGGCATTTTCGTAAAACAAATTTACATCGCTATATTACCAAATCCTCTCTCTCTCTCTCTCTCTCTCTCTCTCTAGTCTCTAGTCTCTACCTCACAGTATAGTAAGTAACCTTGCAGACTAGAGTCGATGGCGTCTCAAGATGATCACGATCACGATCACGATCACGATCATCATCACCATCATACCCATGAGTATTCTCTCTTTAGTCTTTCCATTTCAAATACATATTCTTTTTCATCTACAATCCTCAATATATTTGTTCACCTGAAACAGGAACTCTAATAGGGACGCCACAAAAACATCGTGGGTGGGCCCAGATGGGAAGGTGTACCATAGCCATGATGGACTGGCACCACATTCACATGAACCCATATACTCACCTGGTTACTTCAGCAGAAGAGCACCCCCTCTTGTCACCAGAGATTTCAATGAAAGAGCTTTCACTGTTGGAATTGGTGGCCCTGTTGGTACTGGGTATTTCCTATTTTCCTATCATTTGGCTTTCATATTTTAAATACAATATATCAATAATAGGACTATGCTATTATATAAATCTACACATATGGTTTATTGGGCAGCTCGAATTTGATGTGATTTATTACATTTGGCTCATTTACTATGAGCATTTCATGTCTTTAACCTAAGATTCATCAATGAATTTTTTTATTATTAAACTTAACAAGACCAAGTGTGCTAGTTAGGAAAAGTGAAATACTTCACGTTGAGGGTAAGAGGAAGATCAAAGTTAAAGTGGAGTAGAGTTAGTAAGGATATGATAACATGTGGATTGACTAAGGTTATGGCTATCCTCCAGCCTTTACTTTCATCTTTGACTGAGTGGTCTTTGTCAGGCAAAGCCCCTTTTTTGAAGCAACGATCTGACCTTAAATAAAGTGGAATGGAAACATAGGAATTATGTAGCCGACCCAAGTAGTTGGAAAAAGGCTTAGTTATTGTTGCACAAATGCATTCAGTATGGGGTTAGTGGTCACCTTGTGTCAATTAATACTTTTTCCAATATGTCTTTTGATATCTTTATTTGTGAGTTATCTTGGATGATTTCTTTTTCTTTATTCTTTTTGTTTTATCCCTTTTATTTATTTATTTTTTAACCTCTGAATTCACAAAATTTGTTACGATTTCTAGCTTTTGTTTTCTAAGTTCTTATGATTTTTAGCATATTAGGATAATCTCATTTGTTGTTTTGTCAAACTATTACCAAAATTATAGGAGAACTATAGAGATTATTGTTACTCTTGTTATCTCTTCGTCACAAGGATCCCTCTTTATTTCACTTCATAATGTCATTGCTTGTTTGAATTGACTTTTGCTAATCGAAATCTGGTTTTACACTTCACAGGAAAACTGCTTTAATGTTGGCTTTGTGTAAATTCTTGCGGGATAAATACAGTCTTGCGGCGGTATGTACAATCTACTAAGTATCTCTAAGATTCCTTTTGTTCATGAATCATGTGATTGCACCCTTCCTGAGGAAATGATTTTTGAAATGTTAGAATCCTTATCTGATTGCAATTGACTGTAAATTTGTGGATTTTGACATTCATTTGACTAAAAGTTTTAATATTGCAAGTAACTTCTTGGTTAGTGTTGATATTGGCCATAACTGTTTGATTTTAAAACTGAACTATAGTACCAGCTGGTCCAGCTCCTCACCACTCTTTTCTTTGATAGAGGGGAATCACAAAACAAGATTCCTGTACCCCTAAAGCTCATTGATGAGCTTATCGGGGGATGGCAATTACCTATAACTCCATTCTATGACACCTAGTTCTCTTGGGCACTAATCTTGCTATGATCAGCTGAGCTCATGCATTCTAAAGACATTGTTCAAGAAATTTATTTATAGAGTTTTCATTTGAAAAATGGTTGTTACCTTAAAATATAATTGCCTAATTTGTTTACGGACTAAGAATCTCTAAATACTCAAGTTTATTTGTTAAGACTTTTGGCTTGGCTGATCTCGATACAAGAACACATTCCAATATCTCATCCTGTTTAATTTGCATGTCAATGTAATTGAATAATAAATCATGTTATTGTAGGTGACAAACGATATTTTCACGAAAGAGGATGGTGAGTTCTTGGTGAAGCATGGAGCACTTCCTGAGGAGAGAATACGTGCTGTGGAAACAGGAGGCTGCCCACATGCTGCCATTCGTGAAGACATTAGCATTAATCTTGGCCCTCTTGAGGAGCTCTCTAACTTGTACAAAGCAGACATACTCCTCTGTGAATCCGGGGGAGGTAATTGGGAAGTGGATATCCATGCCTACTTTACATATCATTTAAAAATGCTTAGATGAGTGTATTCAAACTGATATGTAATAGTCATCTAATTTGGTTTTTGTAAATGACCATATGAAAATTGATAATTAAGAAATAATGATGAATCAGAACCGTGTGATGACAAAAAGGTTTGGCAGTTATCAACTGCATTTATTATAAGAACTCTTTGGTTATTTTTAGTTTATTTTATTGCATTTATCAATAGATCAGGAATTATTGAACTGCTCATAATAATGTTGCTTCATGAAATAGTTGGCTATATGATGGGATTTTATTTGACTTTTATAAATAATGGGATTAAACGTGTTTGATTTTTGTGGGTGCAGACAATTTAGCTGCCAATTTCAGCAGGGAACTTGCTGACTATATCATATATATAATCGATGTGTCTGGTGGTGATAAAATCCCTCGAAAGGGAGGCCCAGGCATTACACAAGCTGACCTCCTTGTATGTTTTGATCTAAAACCCTCTGCTTTTCAGGGTTTTGAGCACCCAGGACATTTATCAATTGTTAGTCACTGTAAATAAACTGTCAAAGGGGCTAAGATAACTGAGCTTGTGCTTAAATATAGGTCATAAACAAGACTGACCTTGCGCTTGCTGTGGGAGCTGATTTGGCAGTCATGGAACGTGATGCACTTCGGATGCGGGATGGGGGCCCATTTGTCTTTGCTCAGGTTTGTTGACTGTTTTGTTCTTGTTCTTCCTTTCTCAGTTTCTATATCATTTGTTTGATATAAGCATGATAAATATCTCTCTTTCTTCTTCTTCTTCTTCTTCTTCTTCTCCTTTTCTTTTTTCTTATTATTTTTTGTTTTTGTTTTTGTTTTTGTTTTTACTGTTGAAAGCTACATACTTATTGTACTGCGTTAATGTTCTAGGGGAGCTTTTTTTATTTGAACAACAAATATCTGGTTTTTTTTCATTTCCCCCCATTATTCTAGGAAGGAAGTTGCATAACTACTGAAGTGCATTAGTTTGCTTTAGGAAATTGATTTATAGGAGTCTAGTGAAAAACAGATGAACATTATAAGATGGATTACACATAATACATCGAACTCTACATAATTTGGCAATGTCCTTTTCTGTGAGATATGTGTACCTTTTAATCATTTGTGAGAATCCATCTTTTAAGGAACTTAATATAAAACATTTCTTAAGACACGGTTGACATGCCCTTATATCCTAGCCTAAAACCACAGAGTAAAATATTGATTGAAAAAACATATTAGATGCACAGAAATAGTGATACGATGGATGCAAAGAAACCATATATCACCAAGAGCCTTATGGCTCAGTGCTATCTCCTCTACCTCCCAAAGTGGATGGCGAGGGTTCAAATCTCCGAAGGAGCAAAGTGGGTGTGTGAGTTTCTTGCCAATGAAAAAAAGAAACCACATATCTGTATGACAATATTTTTTGAAAAAATGAGGGATCCTAATGGAAATCATGAAAAAATTGACTGAAATTTAGGGAAGTGTTATTGAAGACTTCAGTACATGATTTAAAGTAAAAAATATTTCAAATCAAGTGTATATTTGGTGGGAGATATGAAAATGCGTGCTGTTGGATATATATGAAACACCCATCACTGTAATATTTTAAAAATTAATCGTCCATGTCATAATCAAGTAAAAGTTGAATATGAATATACATGGCATATAATGTTCATTGTAAATATACTATCCACAACTACGATAACAACCAATTTAACCCTACACCGCAATGGCAGGAGTCTCGTACATTGGGCTAGACCTTTTAGACTACATTGAGTTCCCTTGTGGTTCAAACTCAAAATTATTGAGGTGTCCCATTTATATTCTGTGCATGTCACCGATGGATTATGTCTTTCAAACTCTTACAAAGTTCTCCGGTACTTCAACTAGCAAAGTACGAACTGATGTAATTTGCATTAGCCATCATAATAGACTCGGTGAAAAAGGCCATTTGAAAAGAAAGACAAGCAGTATTGAGGTAAAAAAAAAAAACAACACTGGAGAAGGGCTAGAAAGAACATACGTGGATATATCACAAATACGGATTATTTGGGAATTGGGATGTTGGAGAGTGCAAGCATTCCTTCTATGAAATAACTGATCTTACTGCACTCTACTGTTACCATGTCTAAAACTTATTTCACCTCCCGACCAAAGCCAAATGATAGAGAACAGGAATAAACTAGCCTTTTTGTAACAGCCGACTGCAAACTATGGAGCCATCCCCGTTGTTCAGAAAGTTATCGTCCTCATTGTCAATTCTTGGGGTGGGCCAATTTAGGACAACTCAAGCACAGCATTCTATTAATTAATTACCATTTACTCTTGAGAATTCAAAGTTTTCCCTGTTAATGGCACGTGGAAATTATACAAATGCAGGTGAAGCATGGGCTTGGTGTAGAGGAAATCATTAACCACATTTTACAGGGTTGGGAAGTAGCAACGGGGAAGAAGCGCCACTGATCTTTCTAAAAGTTTGTGTCAGAGGTGTCTTTGTATCTTAATTTTTCTAGTAATAAACATGGATTCATGAAGTTGAAACTTTGAAAGTTGGTCCAGTAGAACTTTTGATATTATATGTTTTGCCGTTTGACAAATGAATTACTGTCTTGTCTGTATCTTAGTCAACTGGTTGAGCAAAAATCAAGGAACGAGGATATCCTGATTGGCCACCAAACCACCAAAGGCACTGTAATATGATAATCCATGAAGTATCTTCTTGTGAAGAATTTGTTTCCCCTTGATCTTCAAATCACTTTATTGTCTATATCATTGCTGATTTTCATAGTATTGTCTATATCATAGCTGATTTTCAGAGTGCACAAAAATAGTTGAACCTTTGGCCTGCTGTTCTTCTTTCAGAGTATCTGTGCCTCATGGTGGCGATGCTTGAAAATGATTTCCTCCCTTTCTTCTTATTCTCTTACTTTTGAATCTTCTCTTACCGTAGTCTTTTTATTCTCAACTGAAACTCATAGTTGTTTCATGGCTTACTTGTTTTTAGTTCATTATTGGTAGTTAAATGAAGCAGTGAATTAGAAATATGGTTGAGGCATATTGATCATAGTCGCCTGTGTCGGCCAATACGCGACATATTGGCCGGTTCGTAACTCTTTTTCAAGGGTCCGATACTGTTACACACCTCCATAAATCTGCCGATTTACATCCATATTCGCCCGAGTCTGTTACACTGCGACTGCGAACCATGATACTGATTGATTAGTAATCATGTGTGAAGGGTTGATTTTCTGTTGTTCAATGATAATACAAATACAATGCTATGGTTAAGACTTATGTATTGTTTTATTTAATTATATTCACAGTTTGCATAAAAGTTCTACAATGATCTCATTCTCTATAAGTATGATGTAAAGAAATGGTGTTCTCTGTGGACTTTTGAGTGGAAACTGTCTTCCCGTCAAGTCCCTTGAAATGTTGTCCAGTTATTTGCTCATGTGATGCTTTAGAGTTGAGAAGCGATCACTATCATCAGTATTAAGCTTTAAATAAGTTCAATATGGTGACAGTTTATAAGATAACATTTTGAATTTTTCATTGATCAAATCAGAAAGGAAAAAAGAAGAAGAAGGGATTATTGAAATTTTTTGTATATACCATGCTTAGAGTATCTCCCTGAATATAAATTAAGACCATTATCTAAAATAGTATTTTTTTTTTTTCTAATTGATTCTCACACACACATGCTTTCATTGAGGTTCGAACCTCTAACCTTTTTTTGAGAAGTAAGGGTTTGATATTGTTAGGCTACTGGCCTGTTGGTAAAATAGTATTTAAATTTCTATATAAACCTTTACTAGGAAAAACGTTTAGATTTTAAAATAACTAGATTGATAAGAGGTTAGCCAGTAACGACTACAACTTCATTTACTTTACCTTTTCTTTTCAAAGCTAAAGCAGACGCGCAAACTTTGAGTTTGAATTCAATCTCTTTTTTTGAGAATGACACTTTGAGTTTGAATTTCACCTCTTTTTTTGAGAATAAGAGATGATACCAATTATACTAATGGTTGTATTTAGCAATACACCGACACTATTTTCTTGTTTGGTATTGAATTTTTAAGGACAACTTCTGAAGTGGAACCTTAGTTTTAGCCTTGTTTGCTGACGATAAATAAATGCTTTTGGCCATATAAATTTTGACAATAGAATGCTTTTGAACAAAGTTTAAATTATTTGGTTAGTTTTTATTTTCTGAAAAATAAAAATTTGAAAATTATACAAAATGTTTAAATGTTTTTTGTTTGGCAAATAGTTTTTGAAAATTTAGTTAAATGTTCTTAAATAACTACCTTTTATAATTCCTTAAAAATAATTTTGTTTTGTGAATCCTTAAGAACTAATTTTAGAAATTAGATCAAACACTGCAAATGCTTTCGAGACACATTTGTGCAAAGATAAAAATAATAATAATAATAATGATTTTTCAATATGCATACAAGTACAAGTATGTTAATAGTACTCTTGTTGTCTACATGTTTATGTATACTTAGTTTGCATTTAGAAATTATATATTATTTTAAAAAATTTAATCAGATTTTTATTTGAAAATTATATTTCGAACGTAAAACATTTTCCATAAATAAATAATATTTACTGTGGAATATACGATAGTATGTTTAATTCAGCTTAAAATATAATTTTTTAAAGGTAAAATATATATATATATTTTATCTTTTAGTGGCAAAAAGTTTAAAGATAAAAGTTAAGATCAAGTCTATCAAGTAATACATGTAAAATAATTTGCAAAAAATTAATAACTTGTTTTTATTAAATTTTAATAAAATATTTTACTTTATAATTTTTTTACAGCCAAACACCAAAAAAAAATATATAAAATATTTTACCATTCAAGTTAAAAAAATAAAAAAATGTTTTACCCTTATATTATTTAACGACAGAGAGAGAGTATGAAAACAACGTGACGATTTGGTAGAGAGGAGAGGGAACAACAGAGTATTCATTATTCAATCGATCAATCCATCAATTTCTCTTCGAAGCTGCAACACCAGAACAGCAATAAGCATATATACTGGTATATATATAGAGAGAGAGAGGGGGAGAGAGAGAGAGAGAATGGGGGAAGAGGTGGGGAAGAAGAAGAGGGTGATTGTGGAGTCACTGGGATGGCTGACGGAATCTACAATCATGCCGAAGAAGCACCGTGCCATCGCCGGCGTCGGACCTTCCTCCATCCTCGAACTGAAGGCCCAACTCTACAGATCCCAAGAGGAGTCCAAGAGGACCAAAGACGTCTCCGCCCACCCTGACCACCTCGAATATCAACGGGCCAAGAAGAAGATCACACCTCACGATCCCTTATCTCTCAAGAACTCCGGCGTTGAGGCTCGCGCTCTCAAGTACGTACGCCCTAAATTTCTTTTTCTGTTCTTTCAATTATCAATCCTTTGATTTCAATTCAAATTTGGGTCGTTTAGGTTTCTTTTTTTTATTTTTATTTTTTTTATCTGTTATTGAAGTTCATATACTTACTTTGTATAGAAAATTGAAACTTGAAAATGGAGAAAAAGGCAAATTATTAGGTGAATTAGCACGCATACTAATAATTTAGACACTGGCTTGAAGGGTTGGATTTGGTGATATTTGTTGTTGCTATTTTTTATAATTAGGAAAAATTAACTGGGTAAACTGAAAGGGGTAAAGTTATAGACTTTCATTTGTGTATGAGCTTGGCACCCTATTTTTCACTTCTATTCTTTCAGTTGTCAATTGTTTGATTTCAATTCAATTTTGGATCATTTAGGTTTTCATTTTTTCTTTTTGTTGTTGAATTTCATATAGGAGTAGTTACTTTGTGCATAATTGAAAATTTGAAACGTGAAAATGGAGGAAATGCGAATTTTTAGGCGGATTGTAACTGATAATTTAGATATTGATGTGAAGGGTTGAATTTGATAGTGTTTGTTGTTTGGTAATTTTTATAATTAGGAAAGATTAACTGGGTGAACTGAAAGGGGGAAAGTTATGGATGCTCATTTGTTTGTGTATGAGTTCTACTATGGCACCGATTGCATGGTTAGTTTGGCTTATGATTAATTGGGAAATGCTATTTGATCAATGCTTGAAAGAGATCTTTTTGTTGTGAAATCTATAATTTATATTTATATTAGTTGAGCAAAACTAATTGGAGAAGACTAGAAAAGATAGAATTAGAAATGATCACATTCGGGAGATGGTTGGAGTAGCACCAGTTGGAGATAACATGATAGAAAATCAGTTAAGATGGTTTGGACATGTGCAAAGAAGACCATTAAGTGCTCCAGTTAGGAAAGTGACATGGTCTATATTGAGAATAATACTAGGGGAAGAGGAAGGTCAAAGTTGACGTGTGTGGAGTTAGTCACGAAAGATATGATAGCATCTGGATTGGCTTAGGCTATGGCGTTAAATAGAGTGGAATGGAAACATATGATTAGCCGACCTCAAGTAATTGGGAAAAAGCTTGGTTGTTATTAGTTGAACAAAACTAGTTGATCAATGCTTTATGGAAAGACTGTCACGACCCGCCCCCGTACAATGTCGATATTGTTCGCTTTGCACACTCTCCTCTCGGTTCTCACGGTTTTTCTCAAAACGCATCTACATGGTTAAAGGGTGTCCACACATATAAATCTCAGCAACTTCTCCCCCCTAAGGCGATGTGGGACGTCACAAAGACAAAGTATGTAGGGGTATTTTTACCATACCATAACAAGGAAGTCACAAAGACAGAGCATGTAGGGGTATTTTTACCATACCATAACAAGGAAGTCAAGTTAACTTGTGGCATGTTCTCTCTCAATGCTTTTCACATTACAGCCTACACTGTAACTGTCCATTACATAAAGGTAACTATACCAGTTGATCCTCTCTGTCAGCACATGGCTTTAAATAATCACCAAGAGCCTGACTAGATTCCTTCAGATGAAACTGTTCTGGAGGCCAAAACCAATGATTATTTACAATAATTCTACTAATAGTTACAAACCCTTTGGAGCTTGCATTGTATATAATCCTCTTCAAAATAATATTAGACTGGTCCGAAGGATGCCAATTGTCATACTAGAGGATGTATGCCTTCTATTTGCGATGATATGTTCTATAAAAGGCCTAGCTTTGTCACAAAGTTTTAGTTTCATGTCCCACAACCCTTCACATTTGCTGGGATTGATATAGACCAGAAAATGCCAGTTTTTTTTTTCTCCTTGCATAGATCCTATATATCCATATAGATTTCTTCTTGCAATAAATGATGAATTGCGCATCATAGCCGCTTCATTCCTATTGGCTAATCTGCGCTGACCAAGACCCCCTTCCTCCACTGGTATGCATAATGTATCCCCTGCCACTTTTAGCCTTATTTCTTCAAATCAGTGCCATAATGCTAAAGGGCCATCACCAACAGTGTGAATCTCTGTTATCACCTTCTTTTGCAAAATAAAAACGCTACTTGAGTATGTCTGGCGAAAGACAAATATTTCCAAGAGACTTTAGCAAGGTTTAGACTTTCATACTGAATTTTTTTTAGATAGACTTGGTGTTCCCAGATTTGGTGGCTGATGCATAATCTAGTTGGAGGGTTGGTAAGCTTGGAAAAATAAGAAGGAAAGGTTGAGCAATGACTGCTTTGCTTGAAGCGGTGTATATGGAGGGAAAAGAATAAAAGATCTTTTGATTGGCACAAAGGATCTACATTTTTTTTTTTTTTTTTGATAAGTAAAGCACGAAGGATCTACTTTTAAGATAAAGAGCATTTTTTTTTTCCCCATTTGGATAGACGGTAGGTGGGTTAACTTGTCCTTGGAGACTTATCATACTTTGTAGAGAATATGTATACTTTCTTATTTATAGATAGATTAGACACCAGTTATTTTGATATATACCCCGAGAATGCGTGTGTGTGGCCCGTTTAGCTCCTTCAAGTGATCTGCTTTTATTTTTTTTAAAAGAAAACAAATGAAATATTTGCCAGTACAAACCTTGATGCAAGCTGTAATTCGATCAGTTCACTTCTTACGGTCACTAGCCATGAGAGGTTAGCTTTGTAGAATCCAAAGGTACTTTCAAATGCTTGAAGGGAATTTTCCTTCAGGAGACCCTAAAAATCAAGATTCTTCCATTTACGGTCAATAATAACACCAGCAAAGAATTTTTGGCTCTTCTCATAATGTTTTCTCAATCCATTTATGTCCTCAAGCTCTTTAAAGATCATCCATAGAGAGTATCCCATTAGAGATGTTACATGGACTCTTAAAAAATGTGACATACCTGCATAAATACTTGGACATGGGTATGGGATATGTGTCTAATGCTTTTGGTAAAATATACATCTGACGAATATACACACTGATGATCACAAGGTAATGCCAACAAAAACAATAAATAATTAAATAGTATGTGTTGTTAATGAGAAAGTTGACCGAATTTGAAACTTTATTGCTAAAAGGATCAAACCATGAATCACATACTTGAATTTTATTATTAAAGAAGCTGCAGCAACCCTTTTATTTCTTTAACTGACTCTGGATGAAATGAACTGTATATTGAAGTCCGGTATTTGTTAAAAGGATCAAAGAATATATTGACTAAATTTTAGCAGTCTCTCTGATAAGTGATAACAAGCAGGATAGTTTGAGACTAGAGAGAGAGAAAAAGGTGGGGGAGGTTTACTTTTTAAGCAGGATCTTCTCCTTTTTTTTTTTTTTTACCAAATTTGTTCTTTCTTTTTCTTTTTTCTTTTTTTTTTTGTTTTCGTTTTTATAGACATTATGGTAATTTTATTTTATTTTATTTTATCATGCATGGTAAGTGATAATTTAAGTGGCTCTAGATTTTGATTTGACTTTCACTTAGATGAAACTTTCATTCCGTTTAATTCCAGGGACAAGCTTGAGCTGAAAGCAGTCAATGATGGATCTGTCAGCTATGCAGCATTAGAGAGGAAGGCTGAGTTATATGATAAGCTTGCAAGGGGAGAACTTTCTGATGAGGAAGACGAAGAGAAGTATTGCGTTGATTTTTTCCAGAAAAGCCTCACACGGGATGACTCACAGCAGCCACAAAGTCATGATAGTTCTGCCACAGAATCACCAGCAAATGAAGACGGTGACAATGATGTTTCTGGATTGCTTAAAACAAAACCTGTGGGGCTTGGCCAGACAGCTGGCATGATGGACAGGGATGAGCATAAGCGTTTTGTAAGGTAAATTTCTATTCTTTCTTAATATCCTAGTTTACATATAGTGTGTTGCAAATGTTCTACTGAGCAGTAATGGGATTAAGTGAAACATTAGACTAGAGTTCTAAACTGTATATACAGTAGATGATTATAGAAGCCCTCAACCAAGATGAGGGAGTAGGGGTTACATGGTTTTGTATTAGATGAAGATCTTCCATTCTTGAACCAATTCATCCAAGCATGGGACAGGCTGTGCAACCCATTAACCGTTACCGCCACCATATTGCATTTTTATTATTCTACCACTCATCCGTTATATTTTTTAGAATTCCTTTTGAAAAGATATATAATACCTTTCATTTTTTTTTTAAGAAAATAAATTTAAACACGGCTAGAATATTGGAAATGTGCAAATTTTTTGGTTATGAATAATAAAAGATACAGATGTTATAATGCAAAATCTCATCTTACTGATTTTCACTTGACTGGTAATATATTATAACAATATAGGGTTAGTAACATTAAGGACAAGTTTATCTTTATTGGTAGGGTTAGCACAAAAAAAACAGAAGTTGTGTGTTAGTGGAGTTTGGGCATGATAGTGGTTGAATCTCATTCTTTCAGACAGTTACTTGACTTGAAATTTTTGAAAACCTAGCGAAACTTCTCCCCTGTGGCAGTTTGTTCAGCTTGAATCTAACTTGACTCATGCTCAAACTGTTTTTCGGATGGAACCTGACTTGATTAATTGCCTGGGGCTCATGTATACTGGCGTTGGATGTCATATATTTACTTTAATACTCGTAGAATTTTGGCTATGTGAAATTAAAACAGAAGTTCAAATAGGCAAAGTCGGAAGCAATACTATATTACACCAAACTTTCGCTCATAAATCTTGTGTAGTTTCTTGGGATGCATTCCCCTCTTGAATGCAAAAAAAAAAAAAAAAAAGGTTACCACTGATCATCTGTTCTTGAGCATTATATATTTATTTTATATTAATGCTATTCGCAAATAAAATCAGAACCGAGCTGTTCATGCTTGGTTTAGGAGCGGCTTACCTAAATTCATCCTTTAACTGGAAAGACCAGACCAGACCAGACCAGACCAGACCAGATGTGAACAGTAACTGTTAGGTCTTAGGACTGATTCTAGCATCTATCATAACAATTTACAACTTATGCTTAAGTGTATGTTTGTATTATGGATTTTGTAATGTAAGTCATCCAAGATCTTAAGGAAATTTGGGGAAATTTGATTGAATTACATTTTAATGTAGAAAGCAGAGAAAGGTTGAAGTTCTTTCAGAAATAAGGTAGAAGAAATTATATATTATGGGATTTTAAGCATAAAGGATATTGGATTAGATCTGAGGATAAAATGATTGATTGGAAAGAGATTTTTTTTTTTTTTTTTTGGGATAAATAAGATTATATTAGAAAGCGTTCAAAAGAGGAACGTATCCCAGGGACTGAAGGCTGAAGCCAAAGAAAGGATCCTACGGACCCAAGGAACCCAAAAAATCAACAATCTCCTCTATAGATTTACAATTTCTCCCCATAACCCAACTAAAAAGAGAGCTAATGATAAGAAATTTCAAAGTCCCAATGGAAGATTCATCCCTGTTGAAAGATCTTTTCCGCTCCTTCCAAATGCACCACACCAAAATTCACGAGCATGGGCTCCCACAAATATTTGATTCTTGATTCTGGAGTGGGGCCTCACACTAAATGTATGATATCACATCGCTGGATTACTTGATTTTGTAAATATTTTATGTTAATAGCTGGCAAGATGCAACCCATGCAGTTTCGAGTGGTGTTTTGTGTTTGATAGTTTTGAGTTTAGGTCAATCGGCTGGGAGCCACACCTCAACTCTTTGATTGGTTAAGCTTGTGAGCCGAGTGCAGAACTTTGCCTTGGACCTTGGTCTTGTACATACAGCTTGATACATGGAAGGTCGTCAATGCTTTAAGCAAGGCCATGGTTACTACCTTGCTACAGCTTAATCTTCAGGTTTATATTTAGCAAATACAGAAGGAACATTCTCGGAGTGAAATCTATGTTGTTTACTCCATTGAGGAATGTTTGACTACCAAACAAACCAAGAAAATGTCCCCTCCTCCTCGGTAAATTAGAAAATTCCCTCAGAAAGTCTGTGACTATTAAATTAGTGCTCTTGAATAGTGGTGAAACATGAGCTGAGAATTGCACATACCTAAATGGTCGCTGGAGAGGCCTGTTTCGTTACTTTCTGCACGGCTGCTGCTTTGGTGGCTTGAGTTCAATGGTTCACCCATGGCCCCTACCATCCGTTCTCCCTTCTTCACCTCCTGCTTGGATGCCCTTCTTGAGATGATAGAATAACTTCATTTATGATAGGTACTGAAACACAGATTCAACACCAGAATCTCTTAGATCGCCCCATTCTATGATACATACATTATACCCCGCTTTTACCAGGAATGCTGATATGATAAAACTCTCTTCATAATTCTGGGCAAAGCAACTAAGAATATTTTGTAGAACAGTTGGACATGTCTATGTGTATTTGTGAAGCAAAACCCTACAAAGATGTTAATACAATATTGTGAATGATAATGTAGCATAACAATTCCTACATATCTAATAACAGAAGCAAAGAATCCGATATCTCACATAAAATTACATAATTATTTTCAATCTTTGGATTTATTTTACATGATGCTTTCTACATGCTTTAATATAAAGCTATTCCCTCGTCTTTATCTTACTATCACTGAGGTCTTATGCTACTGAGGCCCATCCGTTTGACTATTTTGCATGTGGTTTCCATCAGGGAAGTCCATGAAGAAGCTAACCAAGCAAGGGAAAAAGCGTCTGAGCTCAAATTGCGTAGGCAAAAGGTGGCTGCAGCTCATCGAGAGAAACTAAAGCAGGCATATCTTCAGAAGCAGCTGGAGAAACTGAAAGCTGCATCCAAAACAGAGCAGACATGACTGATGGCTGGTAATGATCCGCCTCTTTGTAAGAATACCATGAGTTACTATTAGCTCAAGCATGTGACAATCTAGATCTCGTCTAATGGCAGCATTATGGTTATAGAGTTCACTTGATTAAATTCTTTTTTTTGGTAGTTTTCCTTCTTGTTTTGATTTTTCTTCTTGTGTACAAAATAGAGGTTTTGTTGATAGAAGTTCATATGATCAGGTAATCAGGTTACACATTTGAATTATGTGACCAACTGATACCTTTACTCTCACAGTGTGTGTGGTCCATGTGGAGCCCAATCTGCCAAAAAAAAAAAGCATAGCGAAGCCTGTCCTGGGACACTAAAACTGATTGTGTACAACCAAGTTCACTTGATTAAATTCTCCTCGACTTGGTGATGTTCTAATGCTGCTTGAACAGATTTGGGTTTTATGTTAGATTTGCAGAACAGATGAGAAAATTTTAAATTGAAATGTGTTGTGAACACAGAGAACTGGATTTTGGCTATATTTTTGACAATTATGTAATTGTCTTACATTTAAAATTATATTCACGCTTTATTTTTTATAGAACACTCTATATATTTATTTATTATAAACAAAAATAGGGGTTAGGGACAGTGATGTCATTTTATTTTAAAAGTAGAGTGCTTTTAAATTTAACTCTGTCAATAATTTTGTAAAATGAACCATTCAATATAATGAATGTTGTCAAGTAAAAATGGAATGTAAATTATGAACCTTAGCATTCAAATCCAAAGGACATCTAAACAGACACTATAGAATATTGCAATTCAGGGACCTAAGAATTGATTCATCATATTTTTCTTGAGGAGAAGTATTTACTTTGTATGGATTAATCATCATAAATTTTACTCTCTAATGAAGGTTGTCATTGACCTCTTAAAATAGAATGCCTTGCCTTGTTAGACATAATTTTATAACATATTTGATATAATCTCTTTCCAAATGAGGAAAGATAAGTTGAGCGTTACAATTTTGCATTTTCTTATAAAATGAGTGGTTGAGTGTTCAAATTGTGTTAAAATTGAGTTTTTAAAAGACAAATTAAAAAAGAATTGCAAACTCAATGTAATGATTTTCACAAGCTTATGTTTGATAGCATAAAATTTGTGTCTTAGAAATTACACAATATAATGTAATTCTTGTAACAAGACTTAGTAATTCTTGTAACAAGACCTTTGGACCAAAACTACCCAACATATTACATGGTTACAAAATCTACTGCATCAAACTAGACAAAAGAGCTGAGCCAAATGTCAAACATGCAACAAGTACAGGTCCACTATATTGCCACCTCCCTCCCACCATCCACCGCCGTCTCCACCACCTCCTCCACCAGCTCCGCCGTGTCTGTCACACCAACAGACGACGACTCCCGTCGGACCAAGAACCTCCCCGTCGGGGGGACCCACAAGTTGAGCAACCCTTGAGGCCTCCCTGATGGCCTCCACACCTGCACCGTCAAGCACTGGATCGGATTATCAGCCGGCTCGGATGCGTCGCCGCCTTTCAACACGTCGCAGAGAAGCACCCGAGCACTCCCCACCGGCTTCTCCCTCACGTGACCGTGCGCGTATATGTCCACGTTCAACGCCGCCAAGACGTCGGTTTCCGGCAACCTCTCTTGGAACTTCACCTTCACGACCTCGTTCCACGTGGGATTGACGCCACCGTGCTCGTCCACGTGGGTCTTCGCCACGTGGTCTTTCTCGATGTAGACCACTGCGTAAGCTCTCATCTTGGTCACGTGCTTCACGTTCTTCAGGTCTTGGGCCGAGATAATCATCACTTCTATCTCTCTCAGCCGGTCGGCCGCCGGCTTTAATCGCCGGAAATCTGACGCGTGACTCATCAACCTTGTGAGGCGGCGACTGAGTTGATTGAATAAAATGATACAGTAGCGGTGAAGAGAGAATATTGTGGAAACCATAAATGGATGGGGACTAGCTTTATAGATGCTCATATTGCCAACTAATGCACACATACTGACAAAATTATTACCTTATTTGAACAGTTTTAATGCTCATTTCGGATGTGCCACAATGGTTGATTAATACGTGTAGATTTTTAAATTTAATACATATAATTAAAAAAAAAAAAAAAAAAAAGGGTATTAATTTCTCTTTTTAGAATTTAAATTTAAAATGAACACTTGTTATTTCTCTAAAGCATCACACATTGATGGTGAGAATGAATTTTTTGTCACGGGATAGTGAGAATGAATTTTTAATCAATTGTGAGTAGGCAAGCATTAAAAGCTATCTCTAATCAGACTTCTTATTTTTTAAAAGAATAAAAGATAAAAATAAAAAAATAAACTATTGTTTTTATGTGTTTTTTACGTGATTATCGTATTTTGTGATTATGGTATTTTAACATATTACGTCAAACTGAAAGTAATGACATGTTGATAGAAATAATGGTATTAAAAAGAGTTTTTAGCACAATTAAATCTAATTTCAAATTTAAACTAATGAGTTGAAACTAGATTTAGTTGAATATGGTGAAATAATATTTTAAAATTAGATTTAATTGTGTTGAACTCGCTTACTCGACAGCATAATGTTGTGCACTTAAAAGGTTGTGTGGAAATTGAACATCAAATATCAAATGCTATAACTCAATAATACTCTCAAAATAGAAAGTGAAGGGTTTAAGGAGTTTCTTGCCATGGTTATAAAGAAAGAAAGATAATAAAATGAATGGTTTAACATATGTCCAAGCCTGACCCAAAAAACGGGCCACGAGGCCTGCTTTAAATTATCAGGATGATACTGGCCTGATACGGTCTGGGCCTTTAACCAAACAGGCTCCATGCTTGTAAAGCCCAATAAGATATTCCTATTCCCTCATGGCCACGGTAACAACTTTGTTGATAATGATAGTTACAAAGCTTACCAAGTCCAAAAGTTTATGAACTGAAATATCGTGAATGCTTATATTTTACAATTTCAATACAGTGGTTTTTAATTTAGTCCCTGAACCTCTTTGATTTTCAGTTTCTAAGACCAAGTTTTATAGGAAGATGGTGAATTCAGTGAGTAATTACATTGAATTTTTACTAATTAAGGACAACACACATATTCCAACCTTATGCAAGTAGCTAGGTATATAAAGTGCACTCTACTGAATCATGGTTTGGTTAAGATTAATTGGTCACCCTCTCATATTAATTTGGAAAGTCATACACACAGAAACATACATATATAATATAATATATACACATTACACACACATACACATTTCAGTTTGTCTTTATCATGTTGTTAAGTTTGGTATTAACATAGTTAATTAGGCAATATTAATTAGAGTGGATAATCAGTTTAGTTTATCTTTGTCATGCTGTTAGGTTTGGTATTAACATAGTTTAATTAGGCAATATTAATTAGAATGGATAATTTTAGTTTAGTAGTCTCGGGTGGGTACCCAACTTGTTAGACGTGATTTTTATTTTTTATTTTTAATTCAAGAACTCGTTAGACGTGATTTTTTTTTTTTACCTTTAAGATGCAAGAACTTATTGAATGCTAATAAGATAATGGCTTAACTTAAAAAATAAGCAATTAACTTAACTGGATTATTTATGTCCATTAATCAATTCAAATTTGAAAAGTTATGATCTAACATGGCCCCAACTGGTTAAAAAGCTAGCTTTGGGCAATAATTAAGATTACATTTACATCACTTAACCTAACAGTTGCAAATATAAAATATCATACGGTGGTGCACTAGTGCAGGGTAAAAACAAAACATTTGAATAAAAAAATGGAGAATATAAACATCAGTATTTGAATTTTCATCATGTGTCTTTCAATCACTTATGCAACAACTACTTTACTCGTTTTATAATGTTACATTATGATGTATTTGAATTTTCATCATGTGTCTTTAAATCGCTTATACAACTACTACTTTACTCGTTTTATGATGTTGCATTATGATGTAGTGCGTTGCACTAGCGATCCAGATTCACATAACAAAACATCACAATTATTACCATCAATTGCAAGTATACAAACAAACACACACACACACACACACACATAATGTGAACTCTCACATGCCACAAGACAAATTTCAATGGAACTAACAAAAACTTGCCTGGAAATAGGTGTTTTCCAATCATTAATTTAAACACCAAGTGCTATAGCAAAGTTAGTCCAGCCTGGTACAAGCAATAGTGTAAGTGCGAAATAAAAATTATTTTGGCCACCCACCACCAGAAAATGATTTTGTTTGTGGCTAAAGCAACATGTAATAGCTGGCAAATTGTTTGTTAACTCCACAAATCCACCTATAAAACCACATACTATTTCCATCCCTCAGTACACACTCAAAACTCACTTCAACAACAATCCTCAAAACATCCAAAATTTTCTTGTTTTCTTAGGCACACTCAATAGCCTAGTTAGAAATGGAGGGTCTTAGGTTGGCCGTGTCTTTTACCATCAACATTATGGTTCTTATGGCTTTTGCTACATCTGGAGCCAAGGCTGCACTTGAAGCACCGGCACCGGCACCGGCAATGGATAGTGCCGGAGTGGCACTCTCTGCTCCAGCTGCAGTTGCCGCCATGGTTTCTCTGATTGCTTGGTTTTTCTAGATATGATTCTTTATTTATTTTTATTTTTTCAGTTATTTCTGAAGCTTTTTATGGGGTTTTCAGATTCTTTATTGTAAGCAGTGTGTTTTCCTTGAATTTTAAGCTTTGAGTAATGTGAAATCATGATTATTGAATATTTCATTTCTCATTCAATATTAGTCAATATATGTATAACAAAAATGAAAATAACACAACTTGAACATAATAACTAGTATTAGCACTGCAAAAAGCTACAAGTATCTGAGATAGACACTTGGAAGAGTGATTTTTCTTAGCTTCTAGGGTAACAATTGCAAGAGTAAATACTAGCACTCTAGACCTACCTTTTAGTTATGATATCCTACTAGCCACCATCGACTCTAAAAGCTTACGATGTTAGAGAGGGTGTAACTTTGATAATCATATCATCTAACAACTAAAATTTTGCAATTGCTCATGACAAAATCAGGCTTTAATAAGTGTTTAACAAGGCTTCTGAAGATTGAACGTAAAGCTCCTCAACGCATCTTGACTCCTATCTTTGTAATTTCTTATGACAAGGAAAAGGAGAAATTAAAAAAAAAAAAAACATGAAAAAGCTATCAGAACCTAACCTAATTAGCCACTATACTTTTTTAAGTGATATTTTTCATATAATATAAATGTCCTAGGAAACCATAACACCATTAAAGTTGTTGCACACTAAAGTATGAATGGGTGTACGGTTCTTGCACGGGGAGATCTCAGTATATTTCTTCTCGAATTTCATGGAGGAAAATTAAATAAATTATGTGGATATCAGACAAAATTGCCTTATGCTTAAAAGCAACAAAAAAACTAAATTCTGTGTACCCTGTAATTCCACTTTCATAAACAAAATCACCGTTGCTTAATGGAGCCAAATAAGTCCTCAAATGAACGCTTGGGAGCTTCATCACGAGCAACTATCTCGACTACTTTGTAGGACGATTCTGGATGAATCAATGCCTCAACAGCAACTTCGGCAACCTGATCTCTAGATATGGATCCATCGTACAGAGTATCCTACAAAGAGAGATAGAACATGAATAATAACTTGTAATGTATTAGTAATATATGAAACGGAATGTATCAGTTGAAAATTATTACCTCTGGCTCCATGACTATATTTCCTTTCGGGGGATCATTTTTCAACCCACCAGGCCTAATGATTGTATAGTTTATGCCAGATCTCCTGATATATTGCTCTGCTTGAAGCTTTGCTATTAAAACGAGTCCAAACACATTGAGAATTATATAAGCCGGGTTCAAGAACTGCCCCATTGCAGCCCCATTGACTAAAATGGAACTAATGAGGATGAATCTATTTACACCAAGTTTGCTGCATGCTTCAACAAGGCTTACCGTGCCAAAATTATCAACCTGCAATAATAGAAGATTGTAAATGCTGAAAACATCCGTCTCCACCACAGCACATGTTAGAAAGGTTTAGATTATGTACCAAGCAAGGGTTATGATTTTGAGAGAATTATTGATGCCTTGAATGGTAACTATGGGGTACTTAGTAGTTGAGATTTGAGGCTTGGCTCTACAGAAACAATGTGGGACAAAGTTGTGTAAATGAAGGATTTTGATCATTTGAAGATTTGGACAAAAGTGATCTTTTGGGTGGCTGGAATGACGATTCCTTGAGGTTTCACACCCTCAATTGTTCTAAGAATGAAATTTTTGAATGCAGGAATAACAATTCTGCCTTTTTTATTTATTATTTTTTCTTTTTTTTCACAATCAAGTTGGTGCCATGAAGGAAATACTAATCTGCATCAGACTGTTGGCGCAATGGCATACTTATGATCCACGTGTTCCCCTTCAAATGGTGTATGACACAAGTGGTAAAAACGTTCATTTTCTTCATGTAATCTAGTTAGACAGTGCATAATGGGTAATGCATTGATGTTTGCTAGTTGGCACTTTATGTTTGCCTATGATGTTGGCAACCACAAATTAGAGAAGGAAAAAAGAAAGGAAGAGAGGATAAAAGACATATAGAGGAAAAATTAAGAAAGACAAAAAACTAATGCTTTGTTTGGTAGGAAGGAAGGAAGGAAGGAAGGAAGAGGTGTGGAAAGAAAAAAGAAAGGAAGGAACAAATTTCCTTTGTTCGGTAAAGATGAAACAAGGAAAGAAAGGAAAATAAGAGGGATGTGTCATCCTTCATTCTTTACAAATTTTCATCCGTCCAAAAATGGGCAGAAGATGGGGGAGAAAAGTGGACTATTATAGAAGTTTTAAATTAAATACTATCCTAAATTACACAAGTTTTAAATTACAATACTATCTTCTATGAATTACAATATTATAGATATTAATGGACATAACGGTAAAAATAAATTAAAACTTTATATTTCCTTCTCTCATAACTAACATAATAAATTGTGAGCTTCTACTCTCTCTTCCATCCAACCGAACAAAAGAAAGGAAAGACGCAATCTCTTCCCTAGGGATGTCTCATCCATCCCTTCCATCCAATTTTTTTCTTTCCTATCAAACGGAGCACAAGTGTGTATAATTCTAGGAGTGTAGTTCTAGCTATGTTGACGGGGATGGACTAAGCCCGTGAGGGAGTCTCCTCCGAAAGTAACCCAACCATTACGATCACATGAAGAAGGTATGGCATGAACAATCAGCACTACATGACTCATTTACAACACTCCTTACGAGGTTTCTTGAGTAGATTCTATTCTAAATGGCTGGAGTGTTTAAGGTTTCACAATAAGGATTGTTCGCGACTCGTGAGTGAATTCTGATGGGTATCTCTTCCCGGGGAACCTAAGGAATCTGGGGTTTAATTCGGATTTTAGAAAATTCCAATCCAATTCGAGAAGATTGATTTTGGTTTCTTAATATTTACTTAATTATAGGCCATGCAAGCAAAATGTTCTGGTTTGTTATCTTTAATCTTCTTTTATAGGGTTCATCGAGGGGCAAGGAAGATAGGGATGTCTACAACCCCAAGATTAGCAGATATTCAAATTTGAATAGTAAAGAGTAATAGGTCCTATTAGGATAATATTTAATGAAAACAAAATTAGGCAAGAAACCAATACAACAAATACTAATAACTAACCTTCCATGGAGCCAACAAATCCCATGAACGGCTAAAACCTGTGGCACATATCACAGCATCTGAATCAGCACCAATGGCTTCAGCTAGCTTTGTTGAACCCTCAGTTACATCTGCTTTCACCTGCAAATAGACGCATCCCCCAACTCATAACCATAAATGTAAGTTCTAATAGAGATTGGATTGAGTCTCTTTAGATTCATTTTTATTCAAAAAATATGAGTTGAAGCAACCATAATCACACAAACTGCCGCACGCATGGAAATTTGATAGTGCACTTTGCAAATAAAGTATGCGCTCAATGCTCTTTCTCAAGTTGAATTGGAGATTGCAATATATTCTCATATTTTTTAGCATCTTTATCGGTGGATCACAGAAGTTCAGGTTCCATATGGTCAGCAGCATTGGGGTTGCGCAGAAACCTAGAAGCCTTTCAAAATATAGAATATATATGTTAACTTTCTCCAACATGTATGTTAATATTTGGACTTCCTCACCTCTTGGGATTGGATGCCTTCAGAAATGCCTCCCAAGTCACCAAGACCTGGGACAAAAGATACAATCTTGAAAAGAGAACCTAAAGGTTTGCTTGAATCCTAGATGGAATCAATTTTTTGACCATAGAACTGTTTAGACTAATATATTACTTGTCTACACATTCATGATACACTTTGAGGAAGTCTATGGAGGAGAGTGTTTAAAGTATCAATCCATCAATTTCGATAATTGTGTTTTCTAAAATAAAATGAGTGGCCACTCGACTTTTCTAAATTGTTGCAATCCACGGTGTCACATTTTTATTTATTTATTTATTTTTTGTATGATTCTTGAATGTAATATTTTATTATCGATACTTGATGGGTTGGGATTATACTTGTCAATTTGTGGTCTAATTGACAGTATACTTTTATACTGTTGGATCATGGTTTTCCAACTTATTCGGTGGGATTTAATCCAAGCCATTGGTATCTAAGTTTCCATGATGGGAAGGGAGACTTAGGTATGTTTGTTTGTAGAGAAGTCGTTCTCCCCTGTTGTTGTCATATATATAAAAGGTTTTCATAACCGTATTCAGCCCCATCTCATCAACAACTCTCAGAAATGGGGGAGAGCACTCTAATGTTTTTGCAGGAAACTCTAAAGGGTTAAGGAAATTCCTAAAGGACTCTAAGGATCTTCTCCAAAATCTAAAGGTATTATATGACTTAATCATTAATCAGGTATGATGGCTAAATTATCCTCTTTAATTATTAAAGAATTATTTTATTTTTTTTGATAAGTAAAATTTTATAAAGAAAACGCTCAGAAGGGGAGCGAAACCCAATAATTAAAATATTATTGATTTCTACATGAAGATTATTTTATTAAAATCCAACACCTACTACCAAATGTGGAACCCAAGTCTTCTGTCCATAGAGTCACCGGATACTATCCAAGTACCCAGACCGAACAATCATTATTAGAACTGGAAATTGTTGAAAGCAGAAATCCTGAGCTTCAGAAAATGAATTTTATATGATTCACAGTTTCAAATTGTGTTAAAAAATGGATGGAATACTCCAACGGAACGAATCTTATAAAGACATAGCGGATAGACTAAATGAACTTCAGATTCAACAAAATAGATAACCGTAATTGAAAAAGCAAGGCCTAAATACCGGTCCAGCTTTGTCCCAGTGGTCTTGGGTATTAATCCCTGAACCCTAAGTCAATGTTTCGAGACTGGCGGAGAGAGAAAAAAGAAAAAACAAGGCCTAAATCTAGTATATTTCTAGGTAATCTGGTAGAAAGAATGTAGCATATTGTCCATAGAGATACAGTGCAGACTTTGAATTGAGCATAGCCTCAGTTAAATCCCAACTACAGTGCCACCATTAAGTTTCAAATGCACACATGAAATGCTCCTAACCTCCATCAATTGTCAGAGAATGTTAGTGGTCACAGGCCACATAAACTTTCAGGAATTCCAAAAATTTTTTAACTTGATACAAATTTAACTACCTCAAAATGATATTTTTTAATTTTTTTTTCCACTTTCTTGGAAAGACCTAAGTTTTTTGATAATATCAGTGTACAAGGGCTAATCACTACATTTAATAGTAATTGTGTTTCTGGTACTGGAAGAAATTACAATAAACTGAAACCCAATTGAGGAGAAATCAAATTGTAGATGTCAATTGACCATAAATACTCACAAATTGAAGATCTGGGTTGTTGATGGAAAAGCTTGTTTTCGCCTTATCGATGTCGCGGACACCGGCCTTGACAGCGAAACCCTTGGCCAAAAGCTGCTGAACAATCCTCTTGCCAGTGCTTCCAGTGGCACCAGCAACAAATATTTTCTTCTTTTCAGTGACACCCACTTCCTCTTTCTCTGTAATTTCACTTCCCTCCATCTTAAAAACAAACAAAGTAACAAAATCAACACAACAATGGCAAGTGAATTTTTGGAATTTCTGGGGTTGTAGTAAATGACTATGCAAAATTTAAACTTGTTAGGAGAATTTAGGGAATGAAGAGATATACCTTTGCAGCTTTGAGAGGAAAAGATAGGGTTTTGGTGGGAAAGGAAGTGGCAGAGAAGTGTTTGGTGGTGAGAGTGAGGGTGTGAAAGAGAGAGGTTCTGAGGGAGAGAGCACTGGCCATACTTAGTTTGCTTCTTGGGAAAGTAAAAAATTTAACCGCCACCAATTTCTTTCCTTAGCAAGAAGTTGTAATGGTGCCACGTAGTAGTAAAACAAAGTAATAAGAAAAATCTAAAGAAGCATTGGCATAAAGAAAAAATAATGATTTGAAATGGTTGCCGACATTATTTCTTGGGGTTTGTTTCAAAGTAAAATATTATATATATATATATATATATATAATACTTTTTTAAGTAAAATATTTTTTTAATTTTTATTTTTTTAACGTTTGATAAAAGTCTAAATTGACGTTAAAATTAAGTTCATTGAACATGTAAAATAATTTATTAAAAATTCATAAATAAGATATTTTTATTAAGTTTTAATATTTTAACAAACAAATATTAAAAAATATTTTACATCAAAACAAATATATATAAACTAATAATTAAATTCTTAATCATTATAGTAGAAACTCTATTCTCACTTTTTACGAGTATTAAATTCATTGATAAAATGAAAACTGTTCATGCACAACACAAATCTCAAAACCTATGTTTATTTTTTGTTCTGCAAGTAAAAAACTTCAACAAAAAAATAATAAAAAAAAAAAAACCAAGCATTTAGTTGGAAGTTTATCATGACAAGTTATTGTAATGGTCTTGGGGAGTCGTGACAAGGTTGTTTATTGTTAAATTTTGTTCCAAGTTTGGTATTTTGCAGTAGTTTTTGTAACAAATTCAATGTTAAAACCACTAGTATACATGCCCAGAACACTCAAGACAACTTGAAGAGTGAAGCATATTAAGGATGAAACTAAGCTCTCATGTAATTTATCCATCTTCAAGTACAAGTTTTAACCAAAGAAACATCAATCAGTCCCAAACGTTAGTGAAATAAAAAAATTTAAAAAAAAATTACATGAGAAAAGTGACAAATTTCAGACAGGACAGTCGCAAAAATATGTTGTCAGACAAGGCTTGCTGCTTGGCAAAATCCTTGGAGAGCAAGTTCAACATTGCACTGCTTTAATACAGTTTTCAGTCTCATTCCTCCTTCAGAATTCACTCTTAACTGCTTACAACAAACATAGAGAAAAAATTCCATGCCATATTTTTTCTCCAATTGAAGCTGTTGCCATGCTGCTTTGGTAGATCGCATCCCGAAATTCGACTCCCGTCAACTGAGAGACTACAAAATTTCAATACGAATGTAGTGTCTGGTTTTAATAAATATGGAATATGTGCGAAGAGAAAAGAAAAGAAAAGAAAAGAAAAGAAAAAGAAGATGAACTGATAAGCTCGCTCAAATTGACACCAAGCGTTTGGCAAGCAGGGGGTGGCATCAGCCTGATGATAAAATCTTGATGCCTTGATGGTCACGTTATTGTTCAAAAGAATCAAATCAAATTACGTACCATTGAAGTAGTGCAGCTGGGGATTGATCAACCAGCATTTCTTTACAGTATATGCACTGTATCCTCGTGTATCATCACTCTATTATCTCCCAGTTTCTGCACAAATATAAAAGGTTTTCCTTTATGCTATTGCTTAGTCTACTGATGTAAGCAAGTTAGAAAACCTAGCAGAAGTTAACTCAAAAGTAAGATTCCATTCAAGCATATTAAGACACAGGACAACTGGATCCCTTAATTAACTAGAAATACTAATAAATTTACCAAACGAAAGCATTACCTCTAACAAGTACATTATCTCCGCCCTGGAATATGGGACAGCTGCCCCAGTGTTCATAACTGTCTCAATGTCTGCAATAGACATGCGATCCAAGTGGTGTACACGCACATGCTGCCCCAATAAAGAGTTAAAGGCTTCTATTCTGCAAACAAAAGGAACAAACATAAGAACTATTGACACAAACAGTAAACCAACATTTATGGTTCAAAGTGATAAGAGTGTTGAAATGTAAACGAGAATACACAAAAATATGGTCATACAAGTGGTTTATGACAAACCAACCTTTCTGGAGATACATTGATGTTGGATTGGGTTGCAGGAGGCTCATCTACTTCCATGGCTTCCGTCACACTTAACAGAAAACAAAAGAAAACATCAAAAGAATTATACGTAGAGATCAATTTTTGAACCACCTTTTAGTCTCTTAATGTCTGGGATTATCATAAAATTACAAGTATTATGCATATCATATAAAAATTAATCCCCTTCTATAACTTCCTTTACCTGCCTTGAAGTACGTACATACGTTTTTCTACAGTTTTTACCCTAGTACTTCCATCAAGGACTAACTGCTTTATGTGAACGCTTTGGAAAATAAAGCACAATAAGGTTAACATTTAGTCCATGATATAGCTCGAAGTAGTGGCTACTGGCTACTGGCTACCAATGCATTCACAAAAAAATGATAACAATAACTAAGAAATTACAATTATAAGATATTTCATATGTGTGATAGTTTCCCAAAAAAAAACTGCTCATCGCAGACTCACCCTCCTCTACTAGCTGTAAGCCCATGGTCAGTGCTATCAGCGTTACCACCATCATGGTCAGCTTTGCGTTTTCTCTCAAACTCCCTCTCTCTTTCTTCCTCACGCTCGTCCATTTCTGTCAATTCTTTATGGTATATTGCGAAATTGAGAACTTTAAGAGCTGCTTCAACATCCGACTTGAAAACCTGCCCAATACAAAATAAGCATCCACAACAAAGTATTAATAACAAGCACAAGATGCCAATCAAAAATGAGAAATAGTTGAACCACAATAATAAACAAAGAAAAGGTAAATACACAAATCATATAACCATGTTCTCTCCAGTTTCAGTCATGGCTTACAAGGATCAACAGAACACTGAAATTGATGAAGTGTATTGAGAAATGAATGCCAAATACCATAACATCACTACAATCTTTAAAAAAATTGCATCAGAAGAGTGTAAATAATCAGATACCTCTCTGCTCAACTTCAGTTTGGCATGAGCAGTGGAGAGTCGTATTATGGTTTCTAAGCTTCTGGCAGTTATTGGAAGCGTCCCTCCCCCAGTCTACAAAAGGAAAAACAGCATCTTGAATGATTAAGAGAGCAAACATAGCACTTAGGCTCAATACGATTGTTAGCTGGTTGTGCACACTAACCTTTGCATTTGAACTGGCATTTCTGAGCTCTGCATATGTTGTTGCAATATGATCAGATGCCTGTTAAATAAATATTGTTAAAATCAGCACCGGAAAAGCCAAATAAGATTAAGGTGCTTCGGGGAGACAAGGAATTAAGGGTAATCAACAATAAGAGAACCATATTTGTCAATTTGGCAATTAAAAGGACAAAGCTGAATTGATGCATAAACACAAACAAAAAGTATCATCACCTCATCGGTCAGCTCTGGTTGTATCCTATGTTTTGCATAATGAATATACTTCTTAAGAAACTTTATGGTGAGTGTATCACGCTTCTGAGCCCTTCCCGTTTTTCTACCATGCAACATTCGGTTATACTTAACATAAACAGATGACCCATCAGCATCTTCTTCTCTTCCATATCTTGTACTCCCATCAAGTGTCGCCTCACCTGAGAGTTTGAAGTTGCTTTACTTGAACAATTTTTTTAACAGGCTAGTAAGCCCACAAATCATTGAACTACAATGATTCTGCCTACCTACCTCCGTCTATTGCTGAACGATACCGGTGCATACGTAAGACATGCTCTGAAATTCGACGGTCAATATCTGGATCCATTTGATCCAGTACGATAAATAATAAATCAAAACGAGAAAGCAAAGAATCCGGAAGTCCAATATTCTTTGTTGGAGTTAATGATCGGTCATACTGTGCATTAATCCAAAAACCAGCAATAAATCAAGTCAATCAATGAAGCAAATAGAGAAAACTATGCCTTTACATTTGTTTCCATGTGGCAAATTATGTGTGCATTTAAACTAGTGACTTATGTAAGACTTACAGTTCCATAAATAGGATTTGCAGCTGCTACCACACTGCATCGAGCATTCAGTGATGCATGGATACCAGCTTTGGCAATTGTTACAGTCTGCTGCTCCATAACCTCATGTATGGCGACACGATCTTGGTCATTCATCTTATCAAACTCGTCAATGCAGACAACACCACGATCAGCAAGAACCATAGCACCAGCTTCTAGCCTTCTTTCTCCTAATCACAAGAGAACCACCATTGTTTTATAACAATCTCCACATGGTGTCATATGCTAGAACTCAGATGTCTCACCTGTTTCTTGATCAGAAGTAACTGCAGCAGTCAACCCAACACCAGAGGAACCCCGACCTGTCGTTGATATGGCTAGAGGAGCTATATTCATTATTGCTCTTAGCAGTTGAGACTTAGCAACAGATGGATCACCAACCATCATCATATTTATGTCACTAAGAAAGAAGGAAATTAGATTATGAAGGGTCAAATTTTGATATTATGCCAAACATTAAGATGTGTCCCTGAATGGAGCAACATGGCAAAAAAGAAACAGATCCATGGGATAACAAATGATTGAACTGATTTTGATCAATAACATTCATGCAAATACCAAGAGGTATAAAATATTGCTCACCCTCGCAAATGAGTCCCATTTTTCAAGTTCTTTTCTGTCCCACCAAGCATCAATAAAATCACTGCTTTCTTAATCCACAAATGCCCATGTATAGATGGTGCAAGCGAATTACCAAGAAGGTCGAATGTATCATCTCTCTCAGATACCTTCCTAATGTTAGTTATATCTTCGGGAGTGTAGATTGGTGCATTTGCCTCTTTGTTTAGCAGAGTGACATTGTTAGCTATTAGCACAGTCCTACAAAAATGATGTCACTTGATCACACTTATAAACTTCGAAACAGCATGGCACAAAATGTGATACACAACCAACCTGAATACCCCATTCACACTGCCCTTGCTTTTCCCAGGAATAGCTTTATATATCCCTACAATTGCCACACGGTCTCCAGGCTTGCATGAATCCACCAGGTCATCCTCAACTATGACATCCACTGTTCGTGGAAGCTGGCCAGGGGCAGAATTCTCAGGCACTTCTTGCATTGATAGAGTTTGATGGTCCTTGTATGTGCACAGCCCATACTCAGTCACCAATAAATTGCCATTATCATCCTAGGGAAAACATTCAATTCTCAACTATTTTTTCTGTTATAATTTATAATGTAAAGTACTATAAAAAATGACTATAAATGTAAAAAAAAAATATATATATATATATATATATATATATATAGCAAAAGAGAGATTACCCTCGTTGGATACACAGACCCTGTGGGCAAACCCATATTGGATGTAATATCTCGATATTCACGAGCAGTGAACGCTCCCGTGTTAGGGCAGAAGTGAACACTTTTAACAACCTTTGGCCTTACAAGAGAACCTAAAAAATAAAATTAAGTAGCAGATCAGTAGTACGTATACAATACTATCATACACTAATAGGCAACAAATCATCTAACTGTGGTTGTAGTAGCCAAATTTCCTATTTGTATGTCAAATACCATCATTCATCATGTAACATAGACACATAGAAGTATTTATTTTTAGTAATTTAGACAGATAAATCAGATAATCAATCAATTGGCTAGCCACATACGTTCAAAAATCAGTCCCTGATAAATCTAAGTTTTTAAGAAGATATGGATTAATGAGTATTGATAACAATCATCACATCATTGTTCTCATAAGCATTGTAGATTCAGATCCTTTAGTTTTGAGCCAATGATGTTCTGTAGTCAGTACTCCCAGTAAATATATTATGACATCAAGTACTTTGGAAATGCAAGATTGTGATGAACTGTTAACTATTTCACAAATTCTTAAGTCATATGACCATCTTAACAGGTTGAACTGCAACTCAATCAAGTTTCAAAACTAAGTCACTTAGGTAGTCTAAAAGATCCATATTTAAATTGAGTGGTGGCATTGCTTACCAAGAAGTTGGAAATTGGGAAAACGAAAAGAAAAAAAGAAAGGGAGAAGAAAAGGCTGGAGATGGATCTTAAGGTAAATGATTTTTGGTCCATTTTGAACCACCTGGGATGAGAAACCTAATAGCTGACTTGGACTATCCACAGAATAGGAATTCAAATTACAAGGGGGGTATATACAGTTTTTAAATTAGTCCCAAATTCTTAATCCAATTTTTTTCATCAGACAAACAAAACCCAAAATCGTCCAATACATATAAATCATTCCAAAGTACTCCAAACAGACAAATAATTGAAGTTTTTCCTGAAAAATAAAGCATCATTCTAATTTTTCTACCACACATGCCCATGTAACTCATATTTTCTCTGGATTGTTCCTGATCTATACCAAATAATTAACAAATCCCTACTCCAATGACAAAAAATTATTGAAAAATGAAATTGGCACAACTGAAATAAAAAATAAAAAATTGTAATTTCAGATAATTCACCCCAGACTAGTTGTAACTTCAGTTCCAAACACCATTATATTTATTTCAAACACATTGTGAACCACAACTAGCACATCTAACAAATGGTGAACAAAATTCAGGAACTTAGAGAGCAAAGGAGTACATTTTGTGATGATGCCCTCAACGCAGACCATGGAACCGATGAAGCTGGAGAGGAGATCTCTCGGCGTAACACGACGCGAAACAAAAGGGCCTTCAAAGCCAACAAGCACTTGCTCTCCTTCCTTCAAGTACTTGGGATCAAGACTGCGAGCAACTTCAGTGACCGCATCGCAAAGCGGTTGTATGTACTCGCTCGGACTTTGAAGGAGCCTAAAAAAATTGTACAAAAACGAAGTAAATTAAACACAAATAGGGCCTATATATATATACCCATATTTATTTATATATATAATATGTAATGTAGAGATGTGAAAATTTAGGCGAGCTACCTGCGAGCCAATTCTCGATCTCCCTTGAAATCGAAGAGATCAGAGATGTTGACGATGAAACGGCGGCGCTTGTGGTGAATCATTTTCCTGATTTCGTCGATGTAAGAGTTCCTCCGGGCCTGATGAATTGAAGAAAGTTAGAGAGAGAAATAATTTAAATAGAAGAGAGAGTAATGAGAGGGATGGATCGGAATTAGGGTTTACATCTTGATCGAAAAACTTGAGGAAAGCTCGTTTGTGCTCTGCCCTGACTTCCTCGCTGATGTCCATTTCTTGGCCTCTGTTTCTCTATCTGCGACTGCGATAATTTGTGCTTCAGATAGAGAGAGAGAGTGTGTGAATAGAGAGAGGAGAGAATTGTTATGCGCTTTTCAGCCCTAAGTTTTGCTTTTGGCGGGAACTAGAGAACAAAGGTCATTTACTTTGGCGGGAACTAATATCGTCGGACTCTCGGATCGAAAATGCCGAAATATGCTAAATACTGTATATAGAGCAAATGAAAAAATATATAAAAAAATTCCAAGCTTTGCACAAAAAACCCATTTGACTAAAAATTTGACCTAAAAGTCCTCTTGACTATCCATTTATTGCGTGAATTAAATGTACCAAAATACTCCGGACTTGCGAATGAAATAATTCCAGGAAATTCATTTTTTCTTTAAACATCACTTTAGTGGTTCGTAATTTTTTTAAAAAAATTAATTAATTTCTATGGAAATTTTAAAGGAAAATAAAATAAAAATTTATTTTAAATAAAATCTAAATTTTCTTTAATTTTTATTAAGGAATATTTTTATCATTATAACATCACTTAAGTGGTACACAATTTTCAAAAATTAGAAAGGAAAATAAAAATCTAAAATGAAAAATCATTTTACGGTTGGCAGGTCTTCGACATCAAATGTAAAAGACTAACCCAACCCTGGTCCTGAGTTGGGTGGGCCTGTTTCTTTCCTTCTGTTTTCCTCAATTTGGGCTTTGCTTGGACATGAGATTGTATCTGTAGGTCTGGTTGGTTTTGCCCAGTTTTCTTAAGGTTATGCTGTGTCCTGGTGGGCTTGATAGCCCAGTCCGGTTTGGGCTTTGGGTATTGCCCCCGAGTATTTTTATAAATGCTTTTTCTTTTCTTTATTGCATACTTATTACTTACTTACCGGAAATATAAATATATATATATATACACACACTAGGAAAAGACATGTGCAATGCACATGTTGAATGTTTTATAGATAATGTGATAGAGTTTTATAGAAAATAAAACAGCCAATTTGTGATATATTTTATAAAAATTATTTTATTTTCTTTAAATATATTCTTCTTTAATTATATTTTCTCTTATTAAAAAAAACTCAGATCATAATGGGTGCATGTAAATGGAATTCTTCCTCTCAAAGTCAAAGCCTAAGAGTATAGCGATCCGCGAAACTCTTTTAAAACCTCTTTTTATATCAATTAATAAATAATTTTTTATATTAACAATACTTGTCTAATTAGATTTCCTTTTATTAAAAACTCAAAATAAATAGGTAATTTGTATTAGAGTTTTTAAATAAAATCTTAAAATATATCTTTGTCAAATGTATTATAATTTTATTGAAAATAAAATAGGTAATTTGTGGTAGAATTTTTCTAGTCTAATTAAAATTTCTTTTATTAAAAAACTTATAATAAATAAATAAATAAGAAATTTGTGTTAGAGTTTAATAGAAACTCTTTTAAAAACTCTTTTTATATCTATTAATAAATATTTTATGAATTCTTGTCAAATTAAATTAGCTTTTATTAAAAATAAAATAAATAATAAAAAACTCATAATAAAAGGTAGTTTATGATAGAGTTTTAGAAAAAATATTTTATTTTTTATATCAATTAAAAAATATTTTTTATATTAATAATTCTTGTCTAATTAGAATTTCTTTTATTAAAAAACTTATAATAAATAAATAAATAGGGAATTTGTGTTAGAGTTTAATATAAACTCTTTTAAAAATTATTTTTATATAAATTAATAAATACTTTTAATTTAATAATTCTTGTCTAATTAGATTTACTTTTATTAAAAAAAACTCATAATAAATAGATAAATTGATAATTTGTGTTAGAGTTTTATAGAAACTCTTTTGAACCTCTTTTTATATCAATTAATAAATAATTTTTTATATTAGTAATACTTGTTTAATTAGATTTCCTTTTATTAAAAAAACTCACAATAAATAGATAAATAGATAATTTGTATAAGAGTTTTATAGAAACTCTTTATTATGTATATTTAAGTGTTTTCTAGAGTTTTTTTTTTTTTTTAAAAAAAAAAGTCTTTTCATATCAATTAATAATTTTTTATATATAAATAAATAAAAACTGAAACTCTTTGCACATTTAATAATAATATAGATAAAAACTCTTTTTAATAAATACGGAAACTCTTTGGCAGAGCTTCTGTATTTTACTCTGTAAGTCTAGATTTCAACAATTCTCAATTTTTGTACCCCTTCCTCCTTCCTTCATACCTCTATTTATAAACTTCTTGAATTAATAGGATTATGACATGTGTCATTTTTTAATAATTACATAATCATAATTGGGCTGGCCGGTTATATTGTGATAATTATCCATAAAAAATAACTATATATTCTTTTTATATTAAACTAAAAATAAGAGTTTTATATATAATGTGATTAATATTATTAGGTAATTTTGTAATTAATAAATATTTTTGTTTTAATAATTCTTATCTAATTAGATTTACTTTTATTAAAAAAAAAATCATAATAAATAGATAAATACGTAATTTGTGTTAGAGTTTTATAGAAACTTTTTTAAAACATCTTTTTATATCAATTAATAAATAATTTTTAATATTAGTAATACTTGTTTAATTAGCTTTCCTTTTTATTATAAAACTCATAATAAATAGATAAATATGTAATTTGTGTTAGAGTTTTATAGAAACTCTTTAAATATATCTCTGTATAGTTTTATTGAAAATAAAATAGGTAATTTGTGATAGAGTTTATAGAAATTATTTTATTTTCTTTAAATATATCCTTGTCTTATTAGATTTAATTTTATTAAGAAGCTCATAATAAAAGCTAATTTGTGGTAGAGTTTTCGAAAAATTATTTTGTTTTATATATAAAATAATAAATATTTTTTTATATTAATAATTATTGTCTAATTAGATTTTATTTTATTAAAAAATTCATAATAATAAATAGATAAATAGGTTAATTTAAATTTTATTATTTAGATTTTAGTTTTTTAAATATTTTTTTATATAAATAAATAAATACTTAAATACTGAAACTCTTTGCACATCTAACAATAGTATAGATAAAAACTATTTTTATATCAATTAATAAATATTTTTTTATATAAATAAATAAATACTGAAACACTTTAGCAGAGTTTCTGTACTTTAATCTTGAATTCTAGATTTCTCAATTTCTGTACCCCTTCCTCCTTCCTCCATGCCTTTATTTATAGGCTTCTTTGATTAATAGGATGATGACATGTATCCTTTTTTGATGATTACATAATCATAATTATCCAGAAAAAATAACTATTCTTTTTATATTGAACTAAAAATAAGAGTTTTATATAGGAAGTGATTGATTTTATTCGATAATTTTTAGAGTTTTATAGAAACTATTTTTACAAAAATTATTTTTATATTAATTAATAAATATTTTTTTATATAAATAAATAAATACGGAAACACCAAAACACGTTGCATTATTTTATTAGGTAATATTTAATTAATAAATATTTTTAATTTAATAATTCTTGTCTAATTAAATTTACTTTTATTAAAAAAAAACTCATACTAAATAGATAAATAAGTAATTTATGTTAGAGCTTTATATAAACTATTTTAAAACATCTTTTTATATCAATTAATAAATAATTTTTTATATTAATAATACATGTATAATACAATTTTCTTTTATTAAAAAACTCATAATAAATAGATAAATAAGTAAATTGTGTTAGAATTTTATAGAAACTCTTTACATATATCTTTATCTAGTGTGATAGAGTTTTATTTAAAATAAAATAGGTAATTTGTGATAGAGTTTTATAGAAATTATTTTATTTTCTTTAAATATATCAATCTCTAATTATGATTTAATTTTATTAAGAAACTAATAATAAAAGCTAATTTGTGGTTGAGTTTTAGAAAAATTATTTTGTTTTATTTATCAATTAATAAATATTTTTTATATTAGTAATTATTGTCTAATTAGATTTTCTTTTATTAAAAAATTCATAATAATAAATAGATAAATAGGTTAATTTAAATTTTATTATGTAGATTTTAGTGTTTTAAATATTCTTTTATATAAATAAAAAAATACTTAAATACTGAAACTCTTTGCACATCTAATAATAGTATAGATAAAAACTATTTTTATATCAATTAATAAATTTTTTTTATATAAATAAATAAATACTGAAACTCTTTGGCAAAGTTTATGTATTTTAGAAATATGAATTTCTAGAATTCTCAATTTCTGTACTCCTTCCTCTATGCCTCTATTTATAAACTTCTTGGATTAATATGATGATGACATGTGTCATTTTCTGATAATTACATAATCATAATTGGGCCGGGCCGGTTATATTTTGATAATTATTCATAAAAAATAACTATTCTTTTTATATTGAACTAAAAATTAGAGTTTTATATAGAATGTGATTGATTTTATTAGGTAATTTTTAGAGTTTTATAGAAACTATTTTTACAAAAACTATTTTTATATCAATTAATAAATAATTTTTTATATAAAATAAATAAATACTGACATACTGAAACACTTTGCGTAATTTTCAATTAATAAATATTATTGATTTTAATAATTCTTGTTTAATTCGATTTACTTTTATTAAAAAAAACTCATAATAAATAGATAAATAGGTAATTTGTGTTAGAGTTTTATAGAAACACTTTTAAAACCTCTTTTTATGTCAATTAATAAATAATTTTTTATATTAAAAAATACTTGTCTAATTAGATTTCTTTTTATTAAAAAACTAATAATAAATAGATAAATAGGTAATTTGTGTTAGAGTTTTATAGAAACTCTTTAAATATATCTTTGTATAGTGTGATATAGTTTTATTGAAAATAAAATAGGCAATTTGTGATATTGTTTTATAGAAATTATTTTATTTTCTTTAAATATATCCTTGTCTAATTAGATTTAATTTTATTAAGAAAACTAATTTATGGTAGAGCTTTAGAAAAATTATTTTGTTTTATATATCAATTAATAAATATTTTTATATTAATAATTCTTGTATAATTGGATTTTCTTTTATTAAAAAATTCATAATAATAAATGGATAAATAGGTTAATTTAAATTTTATTATGTAGATTTTAGTGTTTTAAATATTTTTTTATATAAATAAATAAATACTTAAATACTAATAAATAAATACTGAAACTCTTTGGCAGAGTTTATGTATTTTACTCTTAAATTCTGGATTTCTAGAATTCTCAATTTTTGACCAAGAAAGATTAGCCAAAAGGCCGACCCAAAAAAATTTAGTACTACACTTGATCTTAGCCTAAAGGCCGCGAAGGTGTGATTATTATTTTTTTAGCTCTATAGCTTTATAAGAGGCTTTCATGTAATCCTTTTTACTTAAAACCCATGTGGAACTTTGTAATTTGAATTAAATTCTTTTTATATTTTGTTAATTTGAATTAATTTTAATTTTATTAGGTAATTTTGAGTTTTATAGAATTTATATCAATTAATAAATAAATTGAAATACTGAAACACTTTGCACATTTAATAATAGTATAGATATATATGAGAGCTTGAGGTAAAGGTAGAAAAAAGTATGAAAAATTATCACTTAGTCTTGCTTTTTCTTATAAAAAAACAACTAAGTTTTATAATTTTTTTATAAGACCAATTAGTCTTTACTTTTAAATAATTTTTTCATGTTATTATAAACAACTCAACTTCGTGCTTTTACCCTTACCGAAATAAATTTATAATTTTATAATTATAATGTAATTTTTATTCTAATAATGTGGCAATTATCAGTAATGAATGTATGTCTTATCCACAGTAAATATTACTAAACTCCATTGTGTTTGGAATGGCAAACAAATTAACCCCAAGAAATTGTGTAGCAAAACCTAATTTCGCAAGGTTTTATGTTAAATCATGACTCGTGATTTTAACCATGCTCATATTTGATTAATTAATACCAGAAAGAAACCATATTCAGTGGAAAATATATATGGAAGGAGAGGTTAATTGGGACATTGGTGATACTGATACATACATTTTGATAATATTGTACATTAATATAACTGCAGCTTGATTTTCCAAAAAAAATAACAATCACACTTAGCTATATTTTCTCCTAACAAATGAGAACCACACAAACTAAAATTCACCCTAATAGAGTGGGCAACCAAACATGTCCACTGTGAACAGTTGTGACATGGTGGTATGATTCTGCCAAAACAATTTCTTCTGTATTTCAGCTCATTGTTTCTAAATTTATCCATTTTCGTTTTCGTTGCTGCAAACAAGGAGGAGGTGCCTCTAACGGCTCGACAATGTGGACGTTGCTCTGACAAGAGGCTGAGGAGGAGGAGGAGGAGGTAGCCAAAGAGGAGGAGAGGAGGAAGAACAAAGGGGAGGCCATAATGGACCAACCAAGCGAGGTCTTGAAAGAATTGAACCGAACAGTTCCATGTTATGCCGCGACCATATTCAGCGAAAATGGCATTTGGCATGGCACAAACCCCTTGGTTCAAGTCATTCCTCTCTTCATTGCTCAGCAAGCCTTTGCTATTTTCTGGAATCGCCTTGTCCTCCTCGCTTTCAAGCCTTTCAAGCAGCCTCGTTTTGTCGCTGAAGTCATTGTAAGTACACAATTTAATTTCTTCCCTCCTTGTCCTGAATATCTGCCAGCTTCTTCTTTTGATCCTCACCTTCTTTATTTATGTGCATTGAACTAATATTTCATGTTAATTTAGCTACCACTTCATTACCCTTTATATGCATGGAAAAACACATTTAAATTAATTACTTCATGGGTCAATTTTACATTGTCAATTTTCTTTTTTCTTTTTTTAAAAAACAAAACAAATATATATAAGGGAAATGAAAATAATAAGTACACTTTGCACAAAAAAAGGTCAAGGTCTGTTTGCTCCCTTTTTTTCATATAGCTCAAAATTTAAAAAATCATACAAAAACTCTGCTTGCATGGTTTAAAAGCAAACCCTAGCTTTTCCAATCAACTATATATATAATAACTAAAGATAGAAAAAGTGAATAAAATTATTTTAGGATTCTTATGATAAGGGAATGAAGTTCACAGCGTGTGTTTATGTAGTCTTATGGACTTCCAAATTTTGTGTGAGTTTACTCTATATATTTCACACACATATAAATAGCATTTGCGTCATTGCATGGCCATGCTGAAAAAATGTTACATGAATTGTAGGGTGGCATACTGCTAGGTCCATCGGGACTGGGAAGAAGTGAAACTTTCAGCAAGAAGCTCTTCCCTCCTCTTGGTTTCAAGGTGCTGGATCCAATGGCACACTTCGCCCTCGTCTACCACGCCTTCCTCATCGGACTAGAGACCGACCTAGAAGCCATACCCCAAGCCGGAAAGAGGGCTTTCAGCGTAGCCATCGCCGGAATTATTTTCCCTTTCATCTTGGGTGCATGTCTATTCATCCCTTTCCGTGACAAAAGCAGCAGCCCGGTGGATTTCATCTTCTGGGCTAGTACCCTCACCGTCACCGGCTGCTCAGTCCTCGGCCGTACTCTTGACAAGCTCAAGATCCTCCAAACCGACATGGCGAGAACCGCCTTGTCCGCATCCGTGATCAATGACCTCGGTGCAAGGTTTTTACTTTCAGTGGCAATTGCCTTATCAGGTGGTTTATCAACAATCCATTGGACATTTTTCTCTACCTTGGCCTTCATGTTGCTCTCCGTTTTTTACCTCCGTCCGGCCCTCCTGTGGGTGCTCCACCGGAAGCCGGAAGGAGAGGGATTCAGTGAGTACTACATATCATCCGTTCTAGTTGGTGTTGGGTTGTGTGGTGTTCTAACTGATGCACTTGGGACACACCCTATAGTGGGTGCTTTTGCATTTGGACTTGCTATACCGCGCGGAGAGCTTGAAGCTACCATAGTTGATAGGCTCGAAGAATTCGTGTCCGCTTTCTTGATGCCATTGTTCTTTGCAGTTTGTGGTCTTAAAACCGACATTGATACGATCGTAGATAATACTTCCTTGGCAATGGTGTTGTTGGTAATTGTTCTGGCTTCTTCTGCCAAGATTGTGAGCACTGTCCTCGCCTCTTTCTTATGCAAGATTGAAATTAAGGAAGCCATGACTCTTGGACTAGTTATGAACACCAAAAGCATCTTGGCCGTGATCATCCTTTATTTGGGACTGGAGCAAAGGGTAATACATGCTCTCCGTTATTAAAATTAACTTCTTGTAACTTAGTTTTCACATTTACCCAAAAAAAAAAAAAAAAAAAAAAAAAAAAAAAAAAAAAAAAAAAAAAAAACTTGGTTTTCAAAACACTTTCAGGCACCCCACGTTCATAATTAAAAAAGGATTTGGAGGGCTTTTGTTTTATTTCTTCTAAGATTCACTGGGTGGGTGGTGCAACAGTAAGGTTGTTCATGCAAGGTTGTTTATGCAGACATAAGGCTGTGTAGACAGCAGATTTTATCATAGACATACTCTGCGGTGGCAAAAGCCTCGTTCACTGGGGACTAGCCCTTTTTCGCTATAATCTACGGAGAATTTACTACTCCACGTTAAAAGAATCCACATATTCACTAGGACTAGCCCTTTTTCCCTATAATCCACCGAGAATTTACTACATTAAAAGAATCCACATACGAGACACTTATTATTTGTATTAACATGATCATGATAGGCATGCATTTGTCTAAAGTTTGAAAATAATACATATTCGTCGTGTACATGTTGTGCAGGCTCTGAGTATCCAAACTTATACTATAATGCTGATAACTGTATTGGTGATGACCATCACTGTCATGCCCATCATGATGTTAAACCGGCCGTCAAGGACCATTGTGCCCTACAAGAGGAGGACCATACAGAAAGCAAAACCTGAGGAAGAGTTCCGAATCCTCGCCTGCATCCACGGAATGCGCAATGTTCCGGGCATCATCAACCTCCTCGAAGTCTCCAACCCCACCCGAACATCCCCCATCACCGTCTTCGCCGTCCATCTAGTCGAGCTCATCGGACGCGCCTCCGCGGTGGTCACCATCCACGATACCAAAAAATCCGGCGTCAAAAACCCTAATCACATCCAAGCCCAAACTGACCAGATCATCACCGCCTTCGAGCAGTTTGAACGTCGGTCCAACTCCGTCACCATCCAGCCGCTTCTCGCCCGGTCATCATACTCCACCATGGACGAAGACATCTGCAGCATTGCCGAGGACAGGCGCGTGGCACTCATTATCCTCCCATTTCACAGGCAGCAAACCCTAGATGGTGAAATGGAGGACATCAACCCCGCCATCCGGGACGTCAACGAGAACGTTCTGGCCACCGCCCCGTGCTCCATCGGAGTAGTCATCGACCGGGGACTGGCAGAATCCGGCGACTTCGCTCGCCGCATCGCCGTGCTATACTTCGGAGGACCGGACGACCGGGAGGCCTTATCCTATGCATGGAGGATGGCTCAACATCAAGATGTGAGCCTAAGCGTGGTTAGATTCATCGCAAGTGATCATGCATTGGATGTGGACCCTATGGACTTCATGAGCAAACAAGGGATGGTTAGTGTCAACATAGATATTGTGAGAGAGAAGGAACGTGATGAGGATTTCTTGAACAAGTTCAAGATTAACACGGGTGATGATGCATCAATTTCGTATTCGGAATTGTTGCTGAACAATGAGGAAGACACTGTGACTGCAATTAAGGCAATGGACCGCGAAAATTACGATCTTTATGTGGTTGGAAAGGGAAGAGGAATGATGTCGCCGCTCACGGCGGGACTAATAGACTGGTGTGACTGCCCGGAGCTCGGGGCCATCGGGGATGTGTTGGTGACGTCGGAGTTCTCGTCGGCCTTTTCGGTGCTGGTGGTGCAACAGTATAGCAGGACGGCATTGATAGACGGGTCGGAGAGGACGTTGAGCTCCTCGAATAATACGAGGGAGGAATTGGAGCAGCCGGAGTGGCAGGAGCTGGAGGAGGGTGTTGGTGGTGATCCGTTTGCTAGTTCTAGAAATTTTAATGACATTCATGATAAGTATCGACTGGGGACGGATAATAAAAGTAATGAGTATCCGCATTGAATGTGGACTACTCTGATGTGAAGTTCATGACCTTTTTACTACAAGTGATCAATTTTTTCATTCTTTTATGATTAAAAAAAATACTCTTATGTTTGATTTTTTTTTCGTAGGTCTGGGAGATTCTGTTTATAATTGTTTCAGGAGTTCCATGACATGTTGTGTGTTCTTGTTGAATTGTGAGAGAATTTTGCATAGGCAGTGGTCATCATGAAATGTAAGATGGACTAGACAGAATTTATGTCTTTAAGGAATGTAAGTTGATACGGAGTACTATGACTATTATTTTTTTAATGGAATATTTTAGATGTAACCTTTTGTAACCTGTGGATGTTTGGATTTTTCGGTAAAACCTATGGATGTTGACGGGGTATTTCCAAAAGAGTCACGACTCTCGACGCTTCTTATGAGATCTTTTAAGTTAGCATATTTTTTACAAAGAAAATAATATACAAATCATATAATCATATTGTCAGATTTCATAGTAGAAAATTAATTTAAAATACCATAAAATGAAATAACACAATGTTGTTAAGGTTAGTAGTGTAATTTGATCAAAATAAATAGTATGTAAAATTTTGATTTGTAAGTTATGCGCAGTGGTTGTGGAATATAATATGGATAATTAACCTAGAAGGATGGTGAATAGATTTAACTTACTTTCTTATCCAATTTTTACTTATTTTAATTTTATCGAAATAAAATTAAAATCAAATCACAAAGCAAAAATAAAGTACAAGTAAAATAAATAAGGTTTAAGAGATGACACCACGATTTTTAGCGAGTAAACTCCAATTGATATAATAGACCAATTGTTGCGGGAAAAACCTAATCGAGAAAAAGATCCACTATGTTTGAAGCAAAGAACACAGAACTTTGACTCAAACTCACACCCTATCGTTCTACCAAAAATCAATCGCTGACAATCATTGGCTTTGCGACTCCCCCGTTTAATAGCTCTTGACCTTAGGCTTACTCTTGATCTTTGTAAAAGAGTTGTAGGTAGATCAAACAACACTCCACGAATGTTTTGACTCCTTCAAAGTGTGATCGCTTCACCCCTTTTTTAAAAAAATTTGAATTTGATGAAGAATGAATGAATTTTGCTTTTCAGAATCTCTGAATCTTCAATTATACTCCAATTCCGATGAGATAGAGAACAACACTCCTAAATCACTCTTGTGTTTATGTGTTTGCTCTCAAAAATAAAATCAGAAAAATTAAATTGATTTTCTGAATAAAAATATCTCTCAAAAGGCTTTCTCAAAATAATGAATTTTTGTTCCTCAAAGTCATATCTCAATATTGAATAAAAGAGACATTATATAGAAGTTTAGAAGACCTAAGAATACTTGTAAAATAAGTGAAATTCGTGTATAGGCTTTTGGAAGGAAGTCTATACCAAAAAAGAATCAAAACAGATCAGGAAACTAAAGTTACCAAAGCAGTTTTGAAGCCTTGAACTGGTACTGGATTTTGGCTACCGGTTCCAGATGGACAGAGAAGAATCCGATGTGGTTGGCTACCTGTTCCCAAAGTTGGCTACCGGTTCCCAATGGACAAAATATATAATTCTTCTATTTGGCTACTAGTACCAATTAAAGTTGGCTACCAATTCCCAATTGACAGAATATAATTATTCTATTTGGCTACCAGTACTAGATTTGTCTACCAGTACTAAATAGGCAGAATGTAAACTTTCTAAGTACTTCAAACTTTCAAAACTTCAATAAGTGTTTTCACACACTCACATACCTATCCAAAGAATTGTTCTTATCAACCTGAAGTGTATTAAAGCATGAACAATTGAACTTCTTCAAATCCACATCCGCATCCGATCTTCAATCTTGAAATTCTGAACAAAATTTTACAACTTGATCGATCTGACTTATTTTGATAACGAAATTAGCCAATTACAAAATATATATTTTTCACAATCTCCCCAAAATATATATATTTCTCACATGATTTATTTGTGTGATTTATTATAAATGAATTTTAATATTAACATTTTGAATGTATAATCTTTTTTTCTTAGTTTACGATATAATCTTTTATACTATCCTCTATCAAGCACTTAGATGCGCGGCTCAACTTTCTTACACGATCATAATAGAAAGATAAAGAGCTCGTGAGAAAAGTCATGAGGTAAACTTCATGGTAACATTACTTTTTGAAGAATGACAGATCCTCCCGATTAAGAGGATGCCAATTGAGTGTTGTGTGAGTAGGTATCGACCCTACCACATGATATCAGGGGTGATATTATGTGGTGGGCTTACACCCCAACTAACATATATCTTATTGGCATAATCTGAAACGGATAATATCATACAATGTGATGTAGTGAACTGTTACAAATGGTATCAGAACTACAACCTAACTGGAAGTGTGGCCAACGGAAACGTTAGACTCCTTAGGTAGTGATTGTGACAACTTATGTGGGCAGGTGCATGACACTAGACGAGGTAGAGGTTGTTAGTGGGTTGTTACAAATGGTATTGTGTTGGAGCCCAGCAAGAAGTGTAGCCAACGGGGTCGTGTTGGGCCCCTCAAGGGAGGTGATTGTGCTGACGAACCTTCATTATTGCTAGCATGAACTCTCGTTTGCTTTGATAATGAATATATCCCAGTGGTATTTATCATGTGGTTCGATAATGGACCTTCATTATTTCTCTTGAAAACTCTGAATTTTTCCATGATGAATATCACATATAAATACTCTCGAGATATTGTATACTTTGACCATTTCATTGCATAAGCACGTGTTAGGACTCCGAGTAACCCATACCAGGCTACTTGTTGTGCACCAAAATAATACCATTTGGATGCATAAGAGGTGCACAAAATTCTATTGCACAAAAGGGGATCCGAGTTCTTAATTTAAACCCACTATTTTTCACTGCAAAGAAATTAATTTATACATGCCAGTGTGCCACATAAGCTAAAGTATTAATTACCAATGCTGATCAGAAAAATTCAAAAAATGCATATAAGTGGCTACATATGTCATATAACGGACAATAACAAGCTAGAGTATTACCAATGGTTGGGCAGAAAATATTACTGGTGTCTAACTCGTTTGCTTAGTAAACAAGCACAGCAATATATTATTGGAACGACTCTGACGTGTGTGTTTATGGACAACTCAGGACTGCAAAAAAACAAATGAAACAGCTAAAGGCTCAAGAAAAGCACTTCTAAAGGCTTTCACACCAACAGATCTACTCTTCATATGCCCGCTTGATTGGTTATAAAACGCATCAAAATATCTACGTTGACAAGCCAGAAGAGCTTGTAACTATCCTAATAATGAAGCAAAATAATGGGCAATTGGCACAATACCCAACTTCCAAACACGTCCCTAGTAGGTCTCGCCCTTTGGTCCACAAGGGCTTGTTTTTTACTCTTTATTACTCTGTTTTATATACCCCTGCTTTGCACATCCCCTGTTTTTGGCAGTTCCAAATTTGCACTCTTCTGTCCTTGAACCATGGCATTATTAGCATTATGTGCAAGTAAATTTTCAAAGCTTTTCACGTAGAAAAAAACCTCAAAAGCATTTCACGTAGAAAAAACCTCAATATCGAACTCCCTATCTTCAAAATGTTAAGTGAGCCCTTACGGTTCGACCACAACTTTGAGACTTTGACATTGCAAAATTCAGTTTGAAACCTTAGCCAAAAAATATAATAATAATTTCAGTTTCTAATGCATGTATCTTCATGAGAGAATCAAAGCAAGCAAAAATATAACATTACACATTTGCACATGCATCACACAATTAATAAGACGTCCAAATATCACACCTTTTAGCAAATTCAATCCAATAATTATAAGAACACCGAATTTCAGCTAGAAAGAGAGAGTCCATTAGAAAAAGAAAAAAAAAACTTAAATAATTGTAATTAGTTTCTATACATAATTAAAACAGTAACGACCCGGTTTCAAACCCAATTTAAAGAACAGAACACCTAACCCACCTTAAACAACTACTCAAATCCAATCAAATTAGGCTCCACCCACACCCATACATCCAATACCCATGTCAATATTACATTCTAGAGAGAGAAAGAGAGAAAAAAAAAATTGTAAGTAAAATACCCACTAGACCTTGAAATTCATTTCTTCAAACAACATAATCTCCGCTCTCTCTATATATTACAATTAGAAGGTTTTAAAGATCTAATCATCAGCTTTGGATTGAGATTAGATGTGACAGCCACAACAGAGGTAGAAGAAACAGAGTGTGGAGACTAAAACAATGGCCTCGAAAACAGAAACGATCTTGAAGAGGAAGTGATCGACGAACCAAAGCTGAAAGCTGGGCCTCTTCCACCGAAACCCAGAAGTACTCCTGAACGTCCAACGCCCCCACGGACTCTTCTTCCCTGCCAGTCTCTTGAAGAACATGCACGGCTTCTCCTTCTTCTCCATCTCTCTACTTTCTCTCTCTAGATTTTCGGTTTGCTGTGCGGAGGAAATGTGAGACATTTGGGTTGGTTATAAGAAGTGAGGCTTTGGCTTCGTTAACACTGTTTTGTTGGGTAGGTAATTTAAGGGGTTTGTGAGGGTATTTTGGGAATACGAAAAGGAGAGTGGAGCCTTAAAGAAATAAACTGTTCCGGGATTTCGTGGGTAAAGGACCGTTACGTGTGAGTGCGTGTCCAGAAAAACAAAAAAAAAAAAACTGGTAAATTAATTTTCAATTTCCACTTCTTTATTGCTCCTTCCAGTCTTGTGAAAGATTTTTGTTGAGTTGGATCATTGGATGATAAGTCGAGTGATAGTGGAAGAAGGAAGGGGTAGGGTGGAAATAGAGGGTTTTTGAGAATATTGTACCGTTGGGGTTAGGTGGCATCACTACACGAAGTTTTATGAACTGGCAAACATTTCGGATTCCAATATTTATGTATTACATAATTTTCCAATTAATTGAAAAGATTCCAATTAAATAGGTTGACTAAGCACTTCAGTAACATGATGTCATTTCTTTCTTTTTC